TATGTATAATTGATATGCATACAAAGAGGATACTTATCTATATGAGTATGTGTGTATGTGTGTATGCCTTTTATCTATTGGTGCCCCATGTAAATGGATTGGGAATCATGTAAGAAGGGGAGTGCATGTCATGCACCGATGGCTAGCCGAGGATGAGATGATCATTGTCAAAAGGATGATGGCAAGTCATATAACAAAGAAAACAACAAACTTCCTGCTTTGAAGTCAATGATATCATGGATAAGAGTGTTCCAGGATGTGATTATGGCTTGCCACTTTTATAGTCTCCTTGTTGAATGTACCATCATTGAGGAGCGGGGGAGGGTGATGGGGAGGTGGGGTCGGGGGGGTTGGATGATTGAGGATATCACTTGATCCTTTTTTTTCTTGTCTCGAGAATTCTTGATTGATTCCATTTATTCCATGAATTATCTTTATCACATGTCACTTTTCTATTATCCATGAATTGGTCAAAGGAATATGACATTAACGAAAAAGGATTTGGATGGTTCCTGACGACAAAGGGAGAGTGAGGTAGAAAGTAAGCAAGGGGAGTTGCAAAAAGTAAGGGCTGAGTTGTGGTGGTTGTGGTGACTTTAACCTACACATCCCTTTCACTCACAAGGCATTTCCATGGCAGAAGACGAAATGAGGCCGGAACGTAAGTCGATCGAGGGATGGTGTTGTGGTTGTTGTATAAAGCAGCAGCAGCATGTTGAATGTCAAACTTTATAGGCAGCACCAGCTCATCTCGGACGACGGGCAGCGATATTGGCGAGTTGCAACAAAAAATCTCCAAAGCCGAACGAGAGCTTACTCAAATGCGACTTGAGTTGGAGCAGACACGGCAGCAAGCCAAAGCAGCCGAGCTTCATGCACAAGAAAGTGGACGCACCAACCGCAAACTCAAAACGGAGATCCAGACACTTACGGATATGAGCAACCGCAAAGATCGTCAGGCTGAAAATGCAAAGGCGACTGCTTTCTTTTTCGAAGGCCAAGTGAAAAAGTACACTGATGAGATTGAGACGGCACAACGTGGCATGGGTCATTTGAAGGAATTGGATGATCAACTTCGAGAAGCCAAGCGTCAACAACAACAATTGGAAACGGATGCTCAAGAAGAACATGATCAAGTGCGTGGTGATATCCAAAAGATCCAGGAAAAATATCGTGCCGAGAAGAGTGAATTGGAAGCTGTGATTGCTCAAGCGTATGAGGATCTTGCCAAGACATCCGCTCGTGCACTACAAATCCAACAAGAGGCTGAGGATCGAATTCAAAAGGTGGTTGGCCCCATGGATCAAGAAATCAAAAAGCTGGAAGAAGAGCATTTGGAAATGGAAAAACGTCAATCTGAAATGATTCGTGGAGTGCAGCAGGAAATTGAGCAATTGAGATCCAAGCTTGATGCATCCGAAGCATCCACACGTTCCCACGAAGAAATCATGACCATGGTGCAGAAAGAAATGGATAGGATTATGCGTCGATTACGTTCCATTGATCAAGCAGAGCTATGATTTATATATAGCCACTATAAATCCCCATTCTCTCCTTTTATACCACTTTGATAATAGTAAACAAGTTTGTTTCTTATAACATGTATGTTTAAGTGAGTGAAAATCATGCGGTCTGGTTTCTGTGAGACGAGACATTACCTCATTTGAGAACTCCGTCAGTCATGTCTTTTTGTCATCATCGTCCTTTTCATTCAAACTCGCACCTTTCTTCTTTCTCCCTCCCTCCCTCCCTCTTTCATGTCTCACTTTCGTTATCCAAACTCGACTCTCATGAGTGCTGCAGGATATTACGCTTATCACCAACATAACAACTCTGTGGATGAAGAAGATTCGCCATTGACCACCACTACCTCAACAACCTCGTCCACCCATGACACTCCCACCGTCATTGCCAATGGCTCTTCTTCCCATCGAACCAACTACCGTACACGAGTTTTAAATGCAAGCAATACCCCAAGCACCGTTACAGGAAGACGTGTATTGATCACTGACGATGACGAAGACGGCAATGCCTCCACCATGTCAGCATCAAGTGCCTCCTCCTCTTCCTCTTCCACTATCCTTGCCCCACGACCTTCAACAACAGCTTATCGTAACCATGGAACCAATGATACAAGACAACAACCCTCAACTACTACTACTACTACTCCTTCTCGTATCAATGTTGCTAGGCAGCAGCAACATCAACAGCAGCAACAAGATCAACCTACACCATCACAGCAACAACAACAACAGCAACCCACACCTACAAGTGATGATGATCGACGATGCTGGATTTGTTTTGGAGAGGATGAAGATTCAGAGGGAATTTGGGTGAAGCCATGCAAGTGTTCTCTTGTATCGCATGAACAATGTCTTTTGGATTGGATATCAGAAAATCAAAAGGGATCTCCTTTGAAAAAGGTATGTATTGTAGAGGGGGAATCATGCATGTTTGTTTGTGTGTGTAATGTGCTCATGCCTCTCTCTCTCTCTTTTTCTTTCTTTGTGTCTCTTTGTGCTACGTACTTCAAGGTCTACTGTCCTCAATGCAATACGCCTTATAGTCTTATGGAGCGACGCAGCGTATCATTGGCTCTCCTTAGTTTAATTGATACATTGGCACGCACTGCAGCACCTTACTTGACATTCCTTGGACTTGGTTGCTCCGTATTACTCACTTCTACCACTTATGGTGCATACACTGTAATGACACTCTTTGGGGCAAGACAAGGGGAGCGGCTGATTGGAAGACCGGCATTTTGGACATGGCGTACATGGCTTGGGTTACCAGCCATTCCAGCAGCCCTTGTACTCTCCCGTTCACGATGGGCCGATGGCGTACTTCCTTTTGCTGCCATGCTCATTCTTCGTGCAACATCAGCCAATCAACAAGGCGCTGTACAAATGACTTGGCCTCCTTCTCCCGCTGTAACATTGGGTGTGTTGCCATGGATAAGGTATACTTCAAAGAATGGGAAGAAGCTCTGCATACTCATGACGTGATATTATAGGCTCCTTTATAATAACTTGTATCTTTTGGCACAACATCACTTGTCAAGGAAATTGCTTCATCTTCGAAACAGACAAACATCACAACAACAGCAACGTCGTACACAACAACAACAACAACAACAAGCAGGCACAGATCCCACAGCTGCGTTCCGTCAGGTACTGGAACAAAATGGTGTCGATATCCTTGCAGATCCTGTATGGGAAGGCCGACGACAACAACATCAACGTGATGAAGAAACACGTCGAGTGGAACAGGAGCAAGAAAATGCATTGATGGAAGTGCGTGAATCCAACGATCTTGGTGTCACTGTTATTGGTGCATTGCTTTGGCCTACCATTAGCAGTATTGTGGGAAGGTAAATGGATGAAAAGAGAAAAAGTGTTGCGAGATACTCATCATCCCACTACTACTAGCTGCTTGAACCATTTCAAACTTGTGCGTCAACACTTTCCAGAACCATTTCATCGCAATGTCCTTGGTGGATGTCTATTTGTGGTAGTCAAGGCAAGTGGTTGTGAGTGTGCAGGAAAGGATTACGTGGATGGTTGTTGACTTTTACATCATGTATATAGGATATGGCAAGCTTGTTGTACAAATATGAACGTATCAAGCAACGTCAATCTCGTCGTGTCAGGAACTATAGTGAGATTGCAAAGTAAAAAGGGTTATTCATATATCTCCTCGCTCGGTATACAACAGCTCCATCTTCTTGTATATAGAAAGGAATCATTTGTAATTTTCAGCTTGATGCATCATATTATACTTTGGGTGGCATTATTGGTTTATTGAACATTCTCTTTGCTTGACTAAATGAAGCTACATATGATCTTTATCTTTTGATGCTGATGGTGGATGAGGACGACGGCATTTCATTTCCTTGACAACCTTTTCCAAAGCGTGGCTTTTCGAATTCAGCTTCCTGCTGCTGTCTATTTTTCCTTTCTCTTCTTGATCGATCACACACCTCATGGCAAGTATACAATTCAACTCGACGACCACCATGCTGACTGGATTGGTATACAGCCAGGCAACAAAAAGCACACTTTGAAGAATATCAAGAATCGCGATGCAGTGCATCCTTATTCGCGAAAGGCACAGCAACTGCAACGAGTGATCATGAGGAAGAACAAGCTTACACAGAAAAAGGGCGATCGCACAGCTACGAATAGCCGAGGTATGTTATTATTATATGAAAGAGATACCAAAGGCTGATTAGGAGGTGTCTCTAGTTGAAAGATGGTTATGGTTTCGATATGCACTTGACGAGTCGATCCAGTGTGCCACCAAACAACAAATCCATGATCTCATTGAAATGTAAGAAAATTGACTTGCTCGATTGCATCTATAGCTTGTCATACTTAACTCATGGTGAACCCTATCTAGGTATATCGAAAGAAACGATGAGCAATTGCAGGCATTGGAAGCGGAACGACAAAAACTCATGCACAAGAGAAAGGATCCCAAATACGATTTACTGGTTGCCAACAAAGAATTGGACGTGAATGAATACAAATCTGGCATAGGTAAGGAAGAAAAAAGGAATCTGGATCTTATGACTTTTTGTCATTGATAGTACCTTGAAATAGAATTACCTGATCTCAACGATGGCAAGAATCTCAAGCGGTTACGGGATTGGGATGGTGATGTCAATTCGATGCCCTTGATCAAGACACGACTTTATCGACAATCCGACAATCCAAAATACAAGGAACCCAAAGAGAGCAATGCAATGGATGTGGAGAGCAAGACCAACAAAGCTACTAGCAATAAGAAGAGTCTGGATAGTTCAATGGACATGGATACCAATTAAAAGACACAAAGTGTATAATTAGATCATCAAAGGATTCATGTTTTGATTGTTGTGGGAGATGGTCAATGAAATGTCCAAATGATTTGTTGGGAAAGGATCGTCCTTATTGAGAGCGTCTTTAGGCTTAGCTTGTACGTAGACAGGATGATCAGCAGCAATGTCCTCTTTGTATGCTTCCCACCCACCTCCTTGAAATGTGGTTTATTCACAGTCTTGGATCATCGATCTATTATAGCTGTCAAACATTGATGGTACGTACGTTGTTCCCCCCTGCATTGACGTTTCTCTTTCTCTTTCTCCTTGTTACATGCGCTGCATAATAAATGAAAGCTCCTTGGTGTAATAATATTCTTTATGTTTTCTGTACACGATGGTGGTGGTAGCATCGGAAGTCTGTGCCCCGTGATTCCAGGCTTCTAAAAGCCAATGATGTTACACACGACGCTTACCTCTTGAAGCAAGAGAGTAAACAAAACATCAACCATTGACCTTTTTGGTAACCTGATGGTCACAAGGATCCAGCTATACTTCTTCACCAGATCGTCGTCGTCCATTTAAAGCTCGAGTAAAAACAATGAACGAGATGAATATATATATACGTGTGTGTATATGCATGGTTGAAAACATTGACGCATCTATTACTACTACAATACTTTTCTCATTCTTCAATGTCGACAACCCACAGCTGCTTATACATTAATAAGGATTCCCTCTCATGCTTTGATGCAACATCATCCTACGGCAAGGAGCCCTCTTTGGATGAACTCTACCAATACGACCTGATGGCATTCAATAGCCTCTCCTATGATGATCGTCGTGAACGCAGGGGAGAGTCGTTTGGATATTGTACCTTACGTTCTCCACCACCATCACCCAAAAAGCATGCTGAACCACCCATTCCCACTTGTATCTCACTCTTTCTCAATGAACATCAGCAACCAAAACTTGATAAAGTCGATGAGCCAAAACGATCCAGCAAGGTGACTACTTGGTGGTCTCGTACTGTATCATGCAAATGGAAAAAGCCGTTTGGTGGTGGTAAATCAAGAAAGCAACAACAACAACAACCTTTGCGGCTGGCAGAACATACACCGGTTTGGTTTACACACTTTTCTTCCAATCCATCTCTTACTACAAAGATGCGATAAAAAAGTCATACTTTCCCTTTGCCATCCCGCACATTCCATCATCCTCTTGCTTTATACGCACACACACACATTTAGCATCTCATCCACCACCCATGTACTACATCTAAACTAGTCTCATTCATCAACATTGAAATATATACATGTTCATCATCATTTTGCCGTATGCTGGTGTTGCTGATTGTCGTTGCTGCTTATTGCTTATGGTGATGCTTTGTGTTGTCGTGGTCAAGCAAAAAGTAAATTTAGGATACTAGAATTGCTCACAAAAGACATCTTCATCAAACGTATTGTATGCATGCATTTCCAATAAACGATAGGTTCTTGATTTATTAACAAGCAAATCTAGTTCCACATCATATACTAAAAAAGAAACGTTAGCATCCTAAACTGGAATGAATAGCAACCAAGAGATTGAACCTACCTTTGGTGTACTGGAGAACTTTTGATAACCCTTGATGACCTTGTTCACAGCTTCCAAAAAGTCCTTTTCGGTAGCAAGCTTTCTTCTGGCACGGATAGCGTACATGCCTGCTTCTGTGCACACACTCCGTAATTCGGCACCGGTGGCATTTGGACAAAGACGAGCGATTAATTCGTAGCGGATATCCCGTTCAACACTCATACTCTTTGCGTGGATCTTCAAAATATGTGCACGACCCTACATCCCATATGTATGTGTGTATGTGAATAGACCCATTCTCTTTCCAATAGCAGCATCTATGTCTTACCTCCAAATCAGGAAGACCGAATTCTACACGACGATCCAAACGACCCGGTCGAAGGAGAGCAGGATCGAGGGTATCAGGACGATTGGTGGCCATTAAAACCTTGATGTTGCCTCGAGGATCGAAACCATCCAATTGATTGATCAACTCCAACATGGTACGTTGCACTTCGTTATCACCGCCTGCACCATCATCGAAACGAGCACCACCAATGGCATCCACTTCATCAAAGAAAATGATACACGCCTTTTTTGTTCTTGCCATCTCAAACAATTCACGCACCATACGAGCACCTTCACCAACATACTTTTGCACCAATTCAGAACCAATCACACGGATAAAAGTGGCATCTGTACGGTTGGCGACGGCACGAGCACAAAGCGTTTTGCCAGTACCAGGAGGGCCATACAAAAGGACACCCTTGGGTGGATCGATACCAAGATTGACAAAGCGTTCTGGTTCAAGCAATGGCATTTCAACAACTTCACGCAATCGTTCGATTTGTTCCTTGCATCCACCCACATCGCTGTATGTCACATCTGGCTTCTCTTCGACTTGCATCATGGTTACTGAAGGATCGATCTTTGGTGGTAATGGGACTTGGATTTGATATTTTGTACGATCCACACTATTCACAATGTCAATAATATCCCATGGGTATATGTATGATTAACAAACATACCCTACACGCATGCCTTCTTCAATATCGGTAGGAGATACATGCCGCACAAGCTCCACCACAAATTTGGCAATTTGCTTGACATTGATGACATATTTGGCATCTTCATTGTCTCCACCTTGGATGATCTTTGTACAGCGAGCCACTTGCAATGGTTGTTCTTCTTGCATTCTTTGTTTGTCGGCTGGAATATCCCATAGATTTGGTGCTGCAAGACCGGTATCTGATTCCTTGACACCTATTATTCCACCCTTAATTAGATCAAGTGTCCCCTTTGCATTCTTTGTTCATCATCATCATCATCCACTTGCCAATCTTTTCATTCACTCGCTTTTGTATATCTTTGATGTCTTGTTCAAGTGTCTTGAGTTCTTTAGCATAAGGGCCTTGTCCCTAGAGTAACCATGTATCGATAAGAATAGCTGTTTCGCTGTTACTTGTTGGCACAAACATACATAGGTCTTCAACAATTTGATATCGCCCTCGTCCAAAGCTATTGAAACCAGCATTGAGTACAATTGGATGGTGGTATTGTGGTGTGGGGGGTGAGAGAGTTGCCATGCTTACCGACAATCTTTTCCTCTTCCTTGTCGTCAATGGGTTTCTCGTCTATTATTGTTATTCAAGTGGGATGATCAGCTTTTCGTACAGTCGAGCATATGGCGAAGAAGGCAAATTCGATTACATTTCTCCCAGTTCTCTTTTGGTGGCATGATGAAAGTTGTTGCAAGTCGATCGATGGAGTAGAAAAAAGAAGTCCTGCAAGTGAACGCGCGTCGACCACAGCACACCACAACCACTTTGTAGCTCACTGGGAATTGGAAATCGAGCCCAGCTCTCTCGCTGCTGCCTGCTGCCTCACCAAAATACGTCATCTAACTCCGGCAATGGAATTAGCCGAACCATCATCATCACTTGAGTGTCATGCCAGACAATGAATGATGCCCTCCTTCCTTCCTTGGATACATCCACTAGAATCCTTTCTCGTTTTATACAAATAAAATGGGCTATTACAGCTTGTTCAATCTCATTAGGTGACTATATAAATTGGATGCAACGATATATGGTATTACTCTACTAGAAGGAATAAAGCTTCCATCCATGTAGTAGTAGTGTTCTCTTCTCATATTGGCAGCAGCAGCAGCAGCAACAGCATCACCAATAAGATATGATCAGCTACTATTATCCCTTGACCTGATTTATCATTCAAAGTATATATAGAATATGGGTGTTCAAAAAGATAGTCAAAGATGATAAATGGATTACCCATCTTCCTTTAAAAACAATACTTCCCTTTAGACAAATGTTCATTGAAAGCATCATTTAATCTGCTGTGGGGAACGTGTGCTGTAATGCGTTGGCAATAAAAAGATAACCGACCACTTTAAAAAGCCCCAAATTAGAGGTGTTTTATTATATGGATGAGGATGCATATAACAGTGATTTCTAATCAATGTATGTTCCAGTGTTATGATGCATGGTGTTTCTGAGGACCCAAGAAATGGATTGCTTGAAACGATTGGCGTTGAACCAGAGGACAGTGAGTCAAATTTTGAAGGGGGGCTGGTCACCATTTCCATCTTTCTTTTGCTTCCACCACACACACACACACACACAAAAGTCTATCACGACTCTCTCTCTCTCTTGATATACATCCCCCCTTCTCCTCCTTCCTATCTATCACTATACACCAACGGTCTTGTTGAACTCTTTTCCACCTGCAGTTTGTTATTTCAGAGAGCGCGATGGCAGCTGCAGAAGATACTAGACGACATGGTTACTCTGATGAACAGCGTCCGCGCCCTCCAAAGAAGCGATTCTTGGCCTCTTCTTCGTCATCCCCCTCCCAATCGATCGATGGTGATAGCGACGACTCTGCTTCTGACGATGGTGGCAAGACTTTGATGGTAAGCTCCTTGAAAAATAAAAAGATCCTTCCATGGGACACACCATTCATTGACCGTGGAAAAACAGGAACCATATGAAGATTTCAGAAGAGACGCGATCTTTAGACAATGGAAAGAATACACGGTAAGACACGTTTATTTTTTATATCATTGTTGGTATCTTGCCTCTTATAGAAGATGCTTTAGCGTTTTCGATCCAGAAGTCAAAAGCGTAAAAGGCAAGCTGAAGAGCACCAACACTCCATGGAAACGATCCACGATGTTTGGAAATCCCATTTCAATCAAGTAGGTTTCTTTCCTTTTATTGTATCATGGAAGAGAGGGTGTTGTTGACATGGATGATGCTGCTATTAGCTCCGTACTGCGTTGAGTGATCTGGTCCCCGAGAATTATTCGAGCACGATGCAAGGTATATATGGCTATACACTCACCCCCCACCATCGATCGTATATTAATAGTCTATATTTTAGAATCGAGCATGGCAGTAGCAGCAGACACCATCATGGAAAATGCACCTACCATGAGTGCTCTTGTAAAGTCGGCAAAATCAACGGAATGCGGCCCCGTTTGCTATACACGCGCATTCTGGTCAAAACGAGAAGCAACGGCAAACAAATTCGCTCCTCTTCTTGGTAATTGTTTTCTTGGCATCGCCACCACCACCACTCCCCCCGAAATGTATTGACATGACTTTATATTGAAGATGATTCGCCTCTCAAGCATGAATATCAAGGTGCATTTGAAAAGTGGAAATCGAGTCAGCAATCGTTTGATGATGCAAGAGGGAAATTGGATATCGAGAATAACAAGGTAAGCACCATCCACATTTTGTGTTTGTGAAACATGTGTTAAAGAAGTGTCCCTTTTCTTTTAGCTACTTGTTCTTCGTGAAGAGCTTGATCTGATGAATCGACGCATTGCTATTGCCGAGAACACTTTACGAGATGTGCAATCAGAATTTGTGGAAACTGAGCAACGCATTGCTGCCAAGAAATCGGCAAAGGAACAAGAAGAAGCGATGGATATTGATGCCACCAACAAACAACAAGAGTCTATCAAAGCACCAATGGAAGCAACTGTAAGTGTGATTTTAGGAATGAGGAGGAGAGGGATGGCTTTTTTTTATTCACATGAGCGGCGTATTGTATCTATAGAAAGAAGAGGAGTCAAAGCCGAATGAAAGCAACACATTGGCCCAAGTTCAGCAAACACTGGATCGACAATTACGTGAAATCGAAGTGATCAAAGACCAGCGTATCGATCTCAAACAACAGATTGCACAAGCCGAGTTGGATTTGGTGGATGTACCAGAGTCACGCATTTACAAATCACCCGTCATACGCCAATTGTATCAGGCACGAGAGATCCAACGTGATAGGAGTGACCACCTGACAAGCCTATGCCGCAAATTACGACGCGATCTTGAAGCAGCCCTTGCCGGTCGTCGTGCTTTTCTAAAAGAGCGGGATAACGAGCAATTGGATCACATCCATAATCTACAAAGGCAGTTGAGGAGACTTGATCGAGAGCTCAATGAAATTCGTGGACAGCGGGATACGTTGCAAGTGATCGCTGAGGAGTGCAAGAGCACAAAGGATACCACACGCAAGTCATTGCCCGAATTACAATTGATTGCCGAATCACGCAAGGTAACAAAGTGAATGGGTGGATTTGTAGAGAGATAGGATGATGAGTACTTAGTGTGAGTTATTAGAGTCGCACATCGATCCTCGAGGTTGAATTATCCTTGTTACAACAAAAGGCAGCGGCAATGACGGGTAATCGGCATTTCTATGAGTACGTGGTGAGCTTGGGCAAAGAACCATCATTGGCATCGGCAGAAGAGGAATTAGCGTAAGTAGATAGAGCCCTGTTGAAAGTGAGGGAACGCTATTGACAATGTGTTGTGGCCAGGTCTCTGCAAGATCAGCTCAATGATGCAAAAGCAAAATATTGTGAAAAGCATGGCTTGGATACGCGACAAATGTTGGAGGATGAATTGGCACGTGCATTGGAAATCAAGCGACTTGAAGAACGTGCAAAGGACTTTTGTACCAAATACGGGTTTGAAGTCTCCACCAATGACTATGACGAAGCACTCAGGATACTCGAACAACAATATCAAAAACTCGAGGCGTCATTGATTGATTCTCGGAAGTCCCTAGACTCGCTTGAATCAGTAAGTCATCCATCTCTTTATTGTAAATACCCTTATACTTAATCATCTTTTTGTATTGTAGGGAGCCGTGGAATCAATGGCAGTTATTGCACAGGCCTCCAAAGGTAGTGCTACGCTGGACGAGCAAAACTTGGAACAAGTGCAAAACTTGATGCAAATCGAGGAGGAGGTTACTAAGCTGCATTCTGAGGTGAGTAAGGATTCATTCTTGGGACAACAAAACGAATGCTCATCTTTTGTTGATGGTCTATACATAGAAATCCAAATACGTTCAGGCGTTCAACAATCTCAACAAAGCCAAAGATGCAAACACCTTGGTCGCCAATGCTCTTACTAAGCAAATTGAAAGGGAGTTGGCCTACATCAAGCAGCTTAATGAACGAGAAAAGAACATGAATAGCCATTTGGTAAGTGGAGGGAAGGAAGGCGTTATAGGATGCGTTGATAGGATAACTAATCGATGAACGACTCTTAGAATGTATTGGAACGAGAGTTGACTACCAGTAAAACGGCATTGGACATGTACACCCAAAAGGAGGAAGAATTGGTAGAGACGTTGAAGGAACTTAAAAAGAGCATGTCGTTTTCAAAAGAAAAGTTGGTCGAGGTGAGTGTCTATAACACTTTATCCACCACTGGGAATGATGAAATTCTAATAACCCTTTGTTTTTTCTCTAGTTCACCAAATCAGCTATGGAAAAGATACAATCGATTGAGCAAGATGCGCATGAACGATTACGTGTGGAAGAAAACAGTGAGCTCTTGAGACTGAAATTGAAAGCCATCAACAAGAATGATCGGCCTGCAGAAAAAGAGCTTCGCAAGGAAAAAGAAGCGTACGAGGTAAGATAGCAATGGGATACTTTTTTTATATGAATACTCACTCATTCGATGTCATGCTAGTCCTTACTCAACTGCAATTTATGCAATGAACGATACAAATCCCATATCATCTTGCGGTGCATGCATACATTTTGCAAGAAATGTCTCGACGAACTCATGGAAAACGGACCACGACGATGTCCCAAGTGCAATGAAACCTTTGGAGTCAACGATGTCAAGCAATTCTACTTTTAATAATCTCGCTAATATCCCCCTTCCCCCTCTCCCTCGCTATCTTTTTTCTTTCTCTTCTCCTTTGTGTATATAACCAACCTTTTTACTTTCTGTATATTCATTCTTCTTTTCCTCCTCAGCTCTTTTTGGACTGTTCAATAGGTTTTCCATCACACACACACACGCACTTTGTTTAGGAAATCATTCCGTAGTACTAGAATACAATAACAAGAAACCCCTTTCCATCTTGAGTATGCATGATATATATATATATACTTTTTTTCAACGGCAAGCTTTATATGTGAATTGAAAGCGATAAAATGAGGATCAAAGAGAAAAAACACACAAAGGGAAAATAGGGATGTTATTGTGAGGAAGGGGGTGGGGTTTTTAAGAAGGAAAAGAAAGCCCAGACACACAGCACATTCATTCTTCTTCTTCCAAGATATCCTCTTCTTGAAGCACACCTCTTAAGCGACGTTCCTTTTCATGCTCGAGTTGTTCGTATAACAAGTACAAAGCACGCTCATTCGACTCGGGAGTTCCTTGAATAGTAAACATGCGTTCACCTGTCTCATCATGAGGCACCTTTGCAATAGAGATTCTGGATCCAGACAAGCGACGAATCTCAGTAATCTTTGCACCACCACGACCTACAAGAGAGACTTAATATCTATCCTTGTTGATTTGAAAGATAAATGACTTACCAATAATGCAACCCACCATGTCACTTGGGATGGAAATATGCTGAGTACGCATGTTGGGGTTGTTTTGCATCGATTGGGAAGAAACAGATGTACGACGGGAGGAGGGTTGTTGTTGTTGTTGCTGTTGCTGGTTGTCGAAATCGGTACCATTGCCAGTGCGAGTGATGGATGTGCGACGTTGTTGTTCATCGACTTTGGTGGGGTTGTACAAAATGGTGCCATAAGCCCGTTCCTTATCGTCGATCAGGCATTGACCAATTTCCAACACAGCGAGATGGATGCCTTCCACAGTGCCACGTACTTCCACCACACGCTCAGTGCTTTGAGGCAACAAGGTCTTGGATGCAATCATACGCACACCTGAGGTATCCTGGATATGCTTGATCTTTGCTCCCTGACGACCAATCACTGTACCCATCAGGTTGTGCGAAATCAAAAGTCGAATGGTCGTGGAGGATGCTGAGCCATCGGCACCATTGCTATCACTGGAGGACACAGGTGAAATAGGTGGTGTAGCAGGCGAAATGGGGTTGTCCAACAAGGTTTGAGCAATCAATGAATAAGCCTAATGATTCTAGTAAGTATACAATGAACGGTCCCCTCAAAGATGTTCAATGTATATAGATTTTTACCTTGGCAACACCTTCCAATGAACCACTGACGGTCAAGACTCGGTCATGGACACCTTGGACGACCTTGGACACTCCGGCCTTGACACCGGTGGTATCTCTTAGTTCCGCCACGTTCTTGCCGGCTAAATTAGATGCACATCATTAAAATTACTTGTCCCTATTACTACTACTACCACCACAAGTAGCTTTTCACACACCCACACCCACACACACACACTATTTACCTTTTCCAATAACAACACCGGCTTCTTTGGTTGTAACAAGAGCACGCAAAGTGAGTTGATCCTCAGCCTGGTTGTCAATGGCAGGGTCGGCATGTTGATCAGTGTTCGAGAGTTGCGACATGATTCTATACCATAGACAAACGACGTCAGCATTGGAGTGAGTCTACAAGGGAGGGGGGGGGAATGAAAAGAGGTTGTTCTCCTTACCAAGTGTGAGAATTGAACGAGTAAGAATGAGGAAAGGAAGGTTTCAGCACACAGCGTAAAAGGTTGTTGAGTGGGTTAATGAATACGGTTGCGATGTGTATGCAAGGTTGTGTGCGAGCGTGCGTGTGTGAGTGAGAGAGGTGTGGAGGATAACGGAGGTGACGACGCGAGGTGCTTAAAGAAGGCTTTTTTCAGAAAGAAGAGGTGTGGCAAAGAATGACCAGCAAAGGAAGAAACAGCATCCACAGAGGTTTTTTCTCGGCAACCTCACTGTTTGAGGGGAGATGTGGTGACTGCCTTATCTCAAATACACTTCTTCTTTTCATTATGAATATACAAAATGGACCCATTGTTGTTGATTGATAATAAAGAAACAGTACATCTTTAATGAGCTATGGATTGATTGTATGATGATGGCATCTTTTTATCATCTATCAGCCAGAGGCCATGCAAGTCATTTGACGATGAATGAGCACTACTCCTCTTGCTATCGTAACCTTGTTTCTAAGTATATAGGTCGGTGATCAAATCTTAACTACAAACACTGAGATACCTTCGCGTCTCTTATCTTTTCTCCCCCCTCTCTCTCTTTCTTTTTCTCTCCAAACGGCCACCATTCCGTTCTTTGTTGTCGTCGGCCATTGTAAACGATCAGCAGCCTATCGAATATGAGCTTACTGCACATACACCCCCCATCTCATCGCTACGCCTACAGCGAGTTTTTTACGCTCAAGAGACCTACAAGGAAGAACATACAAGAGGACGTTTTGGCCACGGAGAATATATGATCCCTGGTGATGCTCTTTTTAGCAAGCTTTTGTCCATCCGTCCTTCAGAGGCCAATGCTACGAGGGATGTTAACCTTGTAGCTCCAAGATACGACCCGCGCTCATTTTGCTTAAGAAGCGCAAGGCTGAATCCAATCAACATGAAAGTGAAAAGAAAGCCAAATGTAAGTATCCACATGTATATCTATATCCCTCAACTTGGTTGTTAATTTATGATGTAATTAACTTCCTTTAGTTGTGAAGGTCATGGAGTGCATGGCAGTCATAGAGGGCATTGATCGTTCTGTGATGGATGTTGTTCGCCATGGCAACCTTGCCAAGGCCACCCTTACCAGTGGGCTGCAACCGTTTCGATGGCAACGCCATCAGGCTACATAGACAACTAGAGGAGGTTTCTATCAAACTTCATGTATACTCGTTAACGTAACAACTGCGTACAATGGGGTGTGTATTTAATTCGATCAAATCAAGCAGGTTGTTGGCATGCTACGAGAAATCAACACTTGAAGCACCCATCATCATGATGTTTCAATAAACACACATTGAATTTGAAAACAAAATACTTTGGAAGGATTGTAGTCGCATGGAAAATTAGAGGAAGTTGTGTAATCATGCAAAGATGCTGATGTGGATGCGAAAGGGGTGGAAGCAGCTGGTATTAGTTGACAATCAGCCACGCTGGCTAGCCCGCTCAATTTTTTTTGTAGCTTTATTCTCTCTCTCTCAACACCTACCAATGGCCACCAACAACGAACTCTTGGACGACGTAATCTTTGCAGCTCGCAGTGGCGATCTCGACGATCTCAAGAATGCCAACCCCAATGCAGACTACTTTGTCACCAAAAATGATATGGGCAACACTGCTCTTCACATGGCAAGTGCCAACGGACATGAAGGTCAGTTTTACGCTTCCCACTTTAAAGACCACAACAACTGACAAAGTAGGTGTATATATAGATGTGGTAGCATGGATGGTTGAAAAGCTCGCTGAAAGCAAGGGCGATCAACTTAAGGCTGTAGTGAACGTTCAAAACGAAGAGGGCAATACACCTTTGCATTGGGGCGCGTTGAATGGTCATTTGGCTGTTGTCGAAATTCTTGTCAAGAACGGTGCTGATTGCAAGGTAAAGATAGGAAGGTTTTGTGTGTGTGTGTGTGTGCGTATCATGGTTAACACGAGGCGATGATGTTGTAGATCAAGAACAAGATGGGCAAGACCCCCATTTATGAAGCTCAGCAACGCACTCACGAAAAGGTGGCCGAGTTCTTTTTGGCAACCATGATTGATGAAGAGCCTGATGAACCTGTGGATGAAGACGAGCAATTTGTCGAGAACGGATATCAAAAGCAATAAGGATCCTCTTTTTTTATCATTCACCATTCATCCTCTATTCGCTCGTCACTTTCCTCTCTCTCTCTCTCTCTCTCTCCTCGTTTCATCTCTCTACATGTGTATTATCATTTCTTGTTCATCACAATAGATAAAAAAAAACTAGCATCAAGCATTATATTATATATAGCATTATTCAAGGGGTCAAAATGTACAAGGATGGATGGAATGAGAGTGGTATAGATTATTGCTTAGCAACCTGGGCGGCAATTTGAGTGAGAACAATGGATTGCATGGCATTGATTGTGGTTTGAATGTCGCTCATATCCACCGACAAGACATGAAAGGTGCGTTGCTGTTGTTGTTCACGCTTTGCATTGGCTTCCACCAAGTGTGATTGATATTCGCAGATGCGGTTGATACACGTTGATTCCTCTTGGGATAGTAATGAACGTAGAGTGGGTTCGGATAAGGTAACAAGGAAAGGAGCTACAATGACGCCCTTGTTTTGCATGCTCACAAAACGGTCCATATGATCCAGTAAACCATGATCCACCAATGAACCTTCAATAATGATAGACTTGCCATCCGTCATCGACTTGTACAAATCCCCGTCAAGCCCTATATACCTACTTAGTCCTTTGTTGATGCGTGTGCTCTCATCTCAACTTACCTTGGCATACCAACTTCGATTCCTTTACCAAGGTATCAATGAAATCAGTGGATCCATCTTCATCATCTCCTGGTAACGACCATAACCTTGGTGGTAGTTTGCCGCTGCGCGACAAAGGAGACATGTCAGCCATTGACCATATACAAAAACGATGGTTTATATACGTTACTCAATAACTGTATGCATGAGATCATAAACGACATCCGTCTTGAGCACAGAGGATAAGTTGAGACGTTCTGAAAGGGAGGTTGCTATGGTGGATTTGCCGGTGGACGCTGTGCCTGCAATCAAAACAACCAGAGGTATCCGCTGATGATGGAAGCTACAACATGATGCATGGTTACCGTTGTCCTATCCCTTCAAAGAACTACTATTATTGTTACCTTTCCAATGTCCTGTACCACTGCACATGCTCGTCTCCATAGCCATGCTGCTTCATAAGAGCAAACAATTCCCTTTGTAGTTCTTGCTGTGCCACGTCCAACTGGTTCTTGTCAACGAGTCGCTTTTTGAGATCAAGTGCAATACGCAAAGCATGGCCATAATCGACACGAGCTGCGGTCAACATGCGAGAGAGTAGAAATCGGGACAAGACATAGTAGTGCTGATCGGACAAATGGACACGCACTTTGACAAAGTCATATTTTGACGACGAGCTCTTTTGTTGTTTTCTTTGTTGACGACCGTTTTGCATTTAAGAAAGGAATAAAGATCTCAAATCCAGCAGCGATCAAGCTCATGGTTCTCTCTTCTTCCAACAAATACCTCTCTTAAGTCATTAAAGCTCAGTGTTGTGTTGTGTGGCATTTATTACAACAGTCGTATACGACCTTTTTATTATTACTATTATCATTTGCTTTTTGAATTGGGGGGTTAAGCCATCAGACCATAGCCTCTTCCTTGCCACGTCCATGGAAAAAGGAAACGGGCGAGATCATCAACTGCTCATGGCGGCCCAAACGGGCAAACATCCACAAGCACACTTCACTCTTAGAAAGGGCTATCACAGGTCATCGTCTGACTCGGAAACTGTGTCTAGTTTATAAAACGTAGACTGGTTATGTACTGCATACAGATCCTGTAGAGTACGGTCCTAAAGAAAAATCGAGTTCCCCAAGTTGCCCCTCCTTTTATAACTTTCGAAGGCTGGGTTTGATATTGGGACTTTGTTTTATCGCCTACTTTGATTGGATTGCTCCTCAACCCAGCCGAACATGCTCGAAAGAATTTTTTTGCAATTGAAACCCAACACCTTGACAACCATCACAAGTGGCTTATGTTCGCCTATAAAAGTTTGCTGGTACCTGCTACCTTTTACTGTTTCTTTACTCAACAAATTATAAAAGTTGATGGCTACTTATGTCGCGGTTACTTTCGACAGTGATCAATTGATATTCGCCATGAGCTTGAGAATGAACCAGGCTCCTCTTATCTGTTGACTGTCCATTGACCTCGTTGGCTTTCAGCTCGTCAGAGGGGTACATTTACCTTCCACTCTTGCACTATAAAAGAAAGAAAATGATTACCAAACTTCCCAAAGAAACATGCGCATCGGCAATTGAAAAGGCTATTGTTGGTAGTTGTCATCATCCGGTGGTCCTGCATTTCAATCATGCAAATGAATTTATTGTTGTGTGTATATGAAAAAGCAATCCTATTATCTACAGCTCAGCATGTTCGGGTTTGCTGCTACTTTCAACATGGCCTTCATCATTGACTTGTTTTCCAGCATGGATACGATCTCGTAGTGCTTCCACTTGTTGATCATACACCTCCCACTCTGGCAGTTGTCTACGTGCCCGATCCAACTTTGGTTCTTTTGTTAAAGGATTGTTGCACTAAAAGAAACGACATTAGCATCCCTTCCCATTTGCGTTCGTTTTCCTTTTGCATACCAGGTCAATGGTCTTGGCTTTTGAAAGGCTTTCGTCACTACACCACGTCTCACACCACAACCATTCTTGTGGCAGTGAATGGATAGGCACGATATGTTGCATGTTGTTGGGTAAATCCTGATCAAGGTTGGCAAGTGAATTGGGATCGGCACTGAGTTGTTGGTATTGAGCACGTAAACGATCACCAGCAGCCAATTGCCGGAAACGCACCAGATCAATCACATATAAGGCACTAATATGATAAGGCTTGCCACGCAAATGATCTCTCCAATAACCTTGATTCCAAAATCTGAAGCCATCCATCTCGGTGCGATCTTTGCAAAAGGGGGTATAGCCATAGGGTGCACCATGCAAATCAAGGTCCACAAGCTCTTTCATATCGGTACGTACAACTTGATCCGCATCCACAAAAATAACCTTATCCAGATCCAATGGGAAGAGCACATCAAGGAAAAGAATCTTGTAACTAGTAGAGGGAGGTTTTTGTGTGAGCAAAGCAATCTCAATTGAATAAAAAAATGGTTGTCAACTTACCCCCAAATGGTGCGTTGCTTTTCTTTTTGTGCACGAAGCCAAGATGGCCATTTGTATGTCACCATCTCGTAATCAAAGCCATACTCTTGAGCCATATGAGGAATGAAATCCTTGAATGTGGGTGATAAAAAGTTCTCAATAAACCAAAACTTGACGGTGCTGTTGGTGTGCTCCATAACCGATGCAATCATAATCGACATGAATCGCTCATACAGATGACCAGATGCAACCGAGAAAATGTTGATATCAGCTTGCTGCTTGCTTTCCACTGCTGCTCCATGTTTCTTGGTAAACAATCTATAAAAGGACAACAACCATAATGAGCATCATGATGGTAGCCACATTCATCTTACTCACTTGTCAGTGATCGAAGACCAAAATCCTCCTTCATCCTTGCTGTTGGATGGCTCTGTCAATACATCCTCATTTTCCATGCCAGCATTCTTGCGAACTTGAGGATAAACGGTAAGTCCTTCAAACGACGTCAATGCCAATTCCTTATGAGCATCACTGCCATCCTTGGACGTTTGCCATTTTCCTTGCGTGCCAACACTTTCAATGTGATACACTTCAGTGGATCGTCCTTCACGAAGAGCAAGTTGCCATACACCAGGTCGTGCCTTGAGTTGGAAATAACCGAGATTGGCCATGACAATGGTATCGGTCATAGCGGGCTTCGTTTGAGTGCCGAGAACAAATTGTAATCCACGAGGAGGACCACGCGTTGCTGAATCGACACAATGTCCTTCCACCAAAATATATTCGAGCTCATACATGGCATAAACCGAAGTGGTATCATCCAGTTGAATGTTGTCAAGGTCCACATTGGCTTCTCGAACGGTCACGTGCCATGACTTTACGATATCCATGCCTAATGTATAAAGGGCGTCTGCAGGTGGATCGGCAAAGTAGGCGGCAGGCGTGGTAGGTGCACCCGTAGTTGGATCAAACATGACTTCACGATCAAACACATAGCGATAAAATCGTTTCAAAGGGATCTCATCTAGGCTTGATTTTGGATTGAGATACACTTCAGCATAGACACCATCCATGCCAGCCAACGCTTCAATGATGGAAGACCATTTTTGAGCTGTTTCAGAAACTGGATCCAGAATCACACCAAGTTGAACAAATGCAGCAGCACGATCACCCAATGTAATCTTCACGTGGTCACCTTGTAATTCTTGGTAAGGTCGCTCACGAATCGTTGGTCGTGGGGATTCAAATACATCTTGCTTCACACTGCCCTTGTCGAGTTCAATCAAAGTGGCGACAATAGTAAGGATATCAGCAATGGGTCGATCAAAAGTCATGTTTTGCACGGCAACATGAACTGGTTGAATACGTTTGTCATTCTCAAATCTGAGCAAGCTGCCGAAATCTTCCTTGGTAAAGGTAACGCTTTCTTCGAAAGGACCAATAACCTATGGCAGGCGTAAAAAAGTCAATGTCAAGCTCAAGAAGATTTATCCAAAACTCACTCTTCCATTGATAACGATGCCTTGAAAACCTTCCGATAATCCAAGTCCCTCCAATACTCTAGATTGCCTATGCACGGCTTCATTGGCGAATGACTCAACAGCAGGTGATCCAGGAGCAAAGACTTTGACTTGCTCAGGTGCCTCTGATAATGACTCATCCTTGGTGGCAATAGCGGTATCAATCAATTCCCGAAGATCCTTGTTGCCATGAAGCATTTCACGGTAGAGCACAGTGGAGATATCATTCAAAGTCGCTTTTCCTGAAGGATTGTGGATCAATGCAAGGCGAACATTGTTTTCGGTTTCCTATAATACCATGTAAGTCATTGATCCACACACATACACAAAAGAGGGCGAGATGTATTACCAAGAATCCAAGTGCCTCTGATGCAAGCTTGAGACCAGGTACTGTGTCAAAGTCTGCAATCACCCACAAATTGGTATTGACCGCCGTGGGATCTTTTCCTGTAAATCGATGCAAGTGTCAATCACACAGCCTATATTCAATGGATCTCATTGCTTCCTCTTACCATAAATGTAATGGATATCCTGTTCACCAGTCTGAAGTGGAAGCATAACAAGAGGACGATGCTCGGATACAACAATGTATGGATTGCGTGATGATGATACGTATGGCTTGGACATGAGATGGTTGTAGATATCCTCATCCTGATCAAGGTCACCAAAATAGACATCGCGTGCAACGACTTGTGTTTGCTCGTTGATACCCATCATCAATAATCTTGGCCATGGCTATCGTTTTCATAGCATTAGAAACCCCCTTTCTATGATACACTATACTTTTTGGACTTACCTGCTCGCTGTTGTACTCGATCAATTTTCCATTGAGAAACATGACGGAATCTTGGGATGTAACGCCTATGCGAGCAAGCAACCTTTGGGTGTCCACGATAAAAGCCTCTCGCTCTTCCAACAGCGCTTGAAGAGATAAATCATGCTCAACCTCATCAAAGGCCTTCTTGATCATATCCATAGATGCATTTTGTGCCTTTGCTTCGTTTAGCTGCGAGAGCACATGGTTGAGAAAAGCCAATGAATCAAGCCTGCTCTTGCTTTGTTGAATATGGGAGAAGGCGATTGCAGCCGCAGTAGCTAATGGATGGCCAAAAAAAAGAGATGATTAGATATACATCATTAGCCATGAAGAATCATCAACTCACTGGGAGAATCAGCTTTAGCAACCACAGGTAAAACACCAAAGCGGATAGGCGTATTGCGTTTGATCATATCAACCACCTGTTGGGTCATGCGTGTCAAAGACTCTTGTGATGCAAGGTCCTCCACCATCACCAAATTGTAAATGTTGCGACCAATTGCTCTCAATTGACCGGGATAAACAGGCTTGAGCATCTATTTCATAGCATGGTAAATACCTAATAACAGGTTGAAGAGGAAAAAAGAGACATTACTTACATCCATCATATTCTTAGACCATGCTTTGTAACGTTTATCTTTTTCCAAATTGTTCAACCAAATGACAAGCTCGCTGCGAACATCAAAGTAATCCGTAGGTTCTCGAGCGCTGGTGCTTGATTCCATTTTAGCGAGTGCTGGATCAGTCATGACGCCAATCGCTTGTTCTGCTGTAAAGCCGATACGTTCAAAGATCTCGATCAATTCCTGCTCAGTCTTAAGGGTCCTCACAAGCCTATGATACATCGATGTGAGACGATTCCATCAAATCCATCCATCCACCACCATCATGCTCATAACTTACGAGAATGGATCCAAATCTTCAGGTTCGATGGGACGTCCATTAAGCCAAAATGCGTTCAATCCACTCTCCGTCAAAAGCCGTTGATTATGGGTGACTTCTTCGACAAGCGGTTTCTGGAGAGTGAGCCCGCTCACACTCTTTGCATAACGAGGGAAATCTTGGGATAATTGAACCAACGCTGACATGGGATCTTTGGCATTTTGAACAAATTGGGCAGCCTTTAAACCAAGCTCTATTGTTTTATACGCATGGTCAATGTTTTGCTCATCCTGACAAATCCCTTGTATGTATTGTATACCTTTAATCTCATCCTTGGAGAGTGGTTCAATCTCGGAAGGCGTATCCTCAAATAACGTTTGGCTGATTTTCTTCCCAATGCTAGCCAATTTTCCCTTGACCGATGTCTCTTTGTTTTCTACAGACCTTGCATGTCAATCACCTACATGCACATCATCCATTCTACTTTTGTTGACCTACCTCGATCATCAATGACCAAATAATCAGTCTTTTTCAATGCCAGCTCGACACCATATCCTGCAATTGCTTGTTGATGATGATCGCCATTGCTAACAGGCTTGTAACGAATGATGTAGGCGAAATGGGGTCGTTCATGCACAGCTTTGGAGAGGATACGATGAAAGTCCGCAAATATGGAAGAAGTGATGTCGGTTGTGTAGATGATGGCCACGTGATGAACATCTTGATGGGTCATCATGATATGATCGAATGGCAATAGCAAGTCGGGTCGATAAGGCAATCCCACCACCTTTTCAATCAAATCGCTAGGATGGCATACAACAGGTGTCTTGAGATCTTGTAACACCCACGTATCACATGGAATATCCGAATCCCCATATTGTTCACGATAATGCTGATGGTATGCTTCTACACGCGGTGCTGCTGCATGGATGGCAAAGGATGCTTTGGCGATACTGGTAGCGCGTTTGGAGCCTGTATGGTGTTGTGCTCGGGCCACCGCGTCCTTGTAAACAGCTTCAGGTGTATCGAGATCGGTAACAGGTTGCTGCACGTAATCGTTGACGAGTGAAAAGTAAAGCGTGTCATTGTTTCCAGCCACTGTTTCACTATGGTACATGTGTCAATGCACAGATGAGAGAAGCCATGAAGAAAGCTTACATAAACTCGACCGTCAATGGAGGAGATGACCAAGGGGCTGTGAGTGTGAGTTCCACTGAATGTGCACACGCGGTAAACGCGTACAATGATGCGAACAGGCACAAGACAACCGCCTGCATTGCGGAAAAGCGAGGAAAAGGGTAAAGGACAAGGCGCGGGATCTACAGCAGGAAAGATTAAACGTGGCACAAGGATAGTAGCAGCATCGGCGACAAGCAATTGTAACTCATTTAATGCAGCTTTACACATTGCATGCACAACGAATAAAGAACACTCTAATCGTTGACAATGATGCCATTTGCATCCATGGGTCATGGGATAATATCAATTAGAAGATGCATTTGAGGACAAGCGACGGAGGTCTTCGTGTTGCTAATTACTGCTGAAGCGACATTTGTAGCTTCCAAAGGATTCCACATCAAGACTTTCACCCGTGCATTGATTAGCTATATGTGATACCCATTTTAGAATACATGTTACTTTCATCTTCGATACCTAGACAACTATCGGATACCACTATAAATTACATCAATTACTATCTTGGGATTGCCCATCTTCGAATTCAATTCGCATGGTCAGAAAATTCTTCGAGCATAATTGATCAACTTTGTTCCAATAAAGACACCATGCTTCATTCCAAATGTTGGTGAGAGGGCGTAACGTGGGAGAGACTATGTACGGAGAACTAGCACATAGGTAGCACATTCCTCTATGTGGGATGATGTACTCTTTGTTACAGCGTAGTAGCTCAGTCAAATCAGCTCGGAACAACGAAGTTGAATGATGGGAATAAATGTCTGTAGCAGGAGCATCGTTCCCATGTTATAGAATTGGCAGCACTTTCAAAGTGGAGGAAATGGCTATTAGCTGCCAATTATGAGCTATTACTGATTAGTGAAATGAAGTATCATCCATTGATCCTTCCAATCATGCAAAACTGCTGGGTTACACAAAGACACCCCTCTGCATCTTTTGCTCTATCAGAGTCAAGCTAATTTACAATCAACAAAGAGATCTCTCCATATACCATCACGCTTGCAGCATAGTAAAACATAAAGGTGCCTGTATCTCCAAACTTTACAATCAAATGTGGGCTCTTTAATAGATCAACGTGCTTGTCGGGGTCAAAGGAATCCTTTATCAAAGTATGAAGTTCATCGTGGGCGATCCCAGATTTCGCAATGTCGCTACCAGCCAAACTGGATCCAGGGGTCGACCTCTTGAAAATTTTTTCGACGACCAAAAAATACTTTTTGGGCTGTTTGCGACATTGAACGCGAAACTTTCACACAAGGTGCTGTTGGCCAAGCCGAGCACATTGCTCTATTCAAAACCCCACGTTTCATTGTAAAGTTCGGAGATACAGGCAACTTTATTTTTTTACTATGCTGTAAGTGTGATGCTATATGAAGAGTGGTCTTTGTTCATTGTGAAGTAGCTGGACCCTGGCAGAGCAAAAGATGCAGAGGGACCTCTTTGTGTAACTCAGCTACTTTGCATGACTGGAAGGATGGAAGGATGATACTGTATACTACTGACAATAACCCATACATTGCGAGCTAACAGCAATTTCCTCACAATCGAAACTTTTGCCCACTCTATTACATGTGAGCGATTCTCCTCCTCTAGACATTCATTTCCATGATTCAATTATCTTGATCCGAGCTGATTTGGCTGAGCTACGGTCAAAGAGACATTACATCGATCCACACATCAGCATACATTCGAATGTCTCAGCTGATTAATCCTTGTTCGATCGTAACTCAATCAAATCAGCTCGGATCAAGCTACTTGAATCATGGAAATGAATGTCTGGAGCAAGAGGATCGTTCCTATGCAGTGGATCTCGCAATAATGATGATTGGATAAAAGTCGCTATCAGCTGTTAATGTATGACATGAAAATGAGGGTTGCGTACCTGTCATGCATGGTCCCTGAAGTCCAAACTTTTTAACCCAGTTACACAAACACGTCCCTCTGCATCTTTTGCTCTGCCAGGGTCCACCTACTTCACAATGAACAAAGACCATTCTTCATATAGCATCACGCTTACAAACATAAAGGTGCCTGCATCTCCAAACTTTACAATGAAACGTGGGGTTTTGAATAGAGCAATGTGCTCGGCTTGGCCAACAGCACCCTGTGTGAAAGTTTCGCGTTCAATGTCGCAAACAGCCCAAACAGTATTTTTTGGTCGTCGAAAAAAGTTTCAACAGGTCGACCCCCAGATCCAGTTTGGCTGGTAGCGACATTGCGAAATCTGGTATTGGCAATCTCGATCGTGAAACGACCACACACCATTCCTTTCACCCCGCCGAGCACCTTTGTTCTATTAAAGACCCCACTCTTGATTGTAAAATTTTGAGATACAGCTGACTTTATGTTTTCTATATGTTGTAAGCGTGATGCTATATGAGAAGTGGTCTTTGTTGATTGTAAATTAGCTGGACCTGATAGAGCCAAAGGTGAAGAGGATCGTGCTTGTGTAACACAGCCCACTTTGCATGATTGGAAGCATTATTGGATGGTACTTGTACTCCATGGAATGGATAGCATGAATTGGAGGCTAATAACCGCTTCCTGCCATTTGAATGGGTTGCCCATTCTATAACATGGGAACGATGCTCCTGCTCAAGTCCAACATTTCCATCATTTTCAACTTTGTTGAGCCGAGCTGATTTGATTGAGACACAGCCAAAGCGAGAGTACGTCAGGCCGTATACAGCAATGCACTGCCTATCTCTATTGATGTACCCTTTGTTTAAGCGTAACTCAGTCACATCAGCTCGGGTCAATAAAGTTGAATGATGGAAATGTTGGACTTGAGCAGGAGCATCGTTTCCATGCAGTGGATCCATCCGGCAAAAGTTGGGAATGGGACAAAGTGGCTGTTAGCTGGTAGCTTAGAAAATGGAAATTGAATATGGTGTACTCTTCAAGAACAAATGTGGTCTTTGGCCTGAAAATGGTTCCAAGGTAACTTATTATATAGATAGCCTCTTTTTGTATACTGTATATGGATTGCGGGTACATGAAGATGAATACTATGAGATTGCAATGTGGTTGTGTAAGCGTGTAAGGTTAAAGTAAGATCATAATTCTATAGATATAAGGTCAATCCATTCAACGTGAAATCAAAGTTTGCGATGGAAGCAAGCAACCTGAGCCGCTGGTCTTTATTGTTGGTATATTACATCTATCTACATACATCTTGAAAAAGTTCAGCTGCTCGTATCAACAATGTTCTTGATGGTAGTATCTAAATCGGCCTTTCTTGAGTCTTTGCTCTGTATACTTAATGCATTGAGGATTATCGGTTGTAAAGGGACTTAGCGTTAGAGAGAAAAGTGTATTTGCCATCTTATCAGCCAACAGGCAAATCCCTGCTGAGCTCAAATGGGTATAAGCGGCATGAAAGCTGTCAAGATGTGGTAAAGTGATCAATTGACGAAAGAATGAAAGAGATAATGAAGGCTTGATATTCTCGACTCGTAATGTCTCTAACAAAGGAACCCTATGCAATAGCACTAGCAATTCTTTTTCGTTGAGCTCCGTAGGACGTAAGGAGATGTTGCGTAAATTTGGCAGGTGATGGACCATAGCAACGATAGCATCAGAAGACAACGCTTGATCCGTTTCCAGGTGCACAGAATGTAAACACGAGGCCGAGTGTGTATGACTGAAAAAACGTGCAAGTTGAGAGCTTTTTGCAGCATGTTGTCCCACCACTCGCATGTTGATTTCCCGCAATTGTGTCAGCCGTGCAAGCATATCAAGTAATTGAATGGAGCTTATACTTGGGAGATTGATCGTTTGCAGAGAGGGGCATTGTTGTAGTAGACGTGTAATTGTATCATTCTCATCCTTCATATCATCAAGGCTCATTCTTCGGATATGCCGTGTCAATTGGCGTCGTATGATGTCGTCAATGATATCATTTGAATATGAAAATAAAGACAAATCCTGTATCCCCGTTTCCACGATACGGTTGTCAGGGTGCCAATGATGGTGTATCCATGATAGCTTGTGTCTCGTGGTGAAAAACATCCAATCGATATAAGCCAACTTTGGGCAATAGTCGAAGATCACGCCATCCAAGTCCTTTTCTCCTGCCACACTTAGGTATCTCAAATTCGGACAACGGCTCAAGATGGGTATCAGGTGTCGGAAACTACATTGTCGCCATCGATAGCTAACATGGAGAAAAACGAGGTTGGTGTTTACATTGACAGCTGATGATGATGATGATGATGACGTCCGTTGATGGGGTTGTTGTAAGGGCGTCATGGGATCGAATGTAATCTTGTGTGCTGTTACATCTTGTAAAATAATATGTGTCAGAGTGGGACACTTGAGCACAAGAGCAGAAAGAAGATCGGTCAATTCTCCACCGAGATACAGACAATTCATCAATAGCCTCGTCAAATGCCGAAAACGTTGTAAGCAATCGATGAAGGAGGTGGTGTCATAAGGCAAGTAACTTCTTTCCAATGCTAATCGAGTTGAATTAGACTCCATCATCATACTTACACGCTGATTGTTACATACCTAACGACTTGATATTCGTACAGCCTTTAGCTAGAAGCATTCGCAATAGGATATCCAATCGGCCATCTTGTCGACTTGAAACGATGCTCACGTGCTTGACATGCACCCCAAAACACTTGTGCAAGAAGGATAATTCACGCGAATAGTCTTTGGATCCTTGTAGTGAGAGTCTGTGCCAGAGCCGTTCAGTGTAAACAGGCACCGCGTCCTTCCACGATCGACACACAAACAAGCACTGGATGCAATCGTAACGGGGAATGAAGGAGAAGATTAGGACAGTGACATCGTATGGCAGAATGTGCATAAAGCTGAGTTGTCTGTCATGGTGTTGCAAAGAATGGCACATAGATAGGCTTAGCCTTTGTGAAGGAAAAGTGAAAGGGGCGGGAGAGGCACCATTGTTGGGACATGGGAAATGGCACAATGAATATTCCCATGTGGCCCTTATCGGGTTATCTGTTATCTTCAACTCACATACTACGCTCTCGCATACCGCTGTCACATCGTCTGCTCACCTCAAGCATATCCATAGATGAGCTGTAAAAAAGATTTACAAATAGTAGCGGGTATAACAATATGATTCCTATCATTGCGCACTCTAGGTCACGTGAGTCATCCTTTCTTTGGGTCATCTACGGTATTCATCTTTCTGCGTGGACCGTGTAATATCCATGATACTACCATTGTGCACCACGATTATATAGTAAAATCCAAAATTGGAAGCGTCTGGCACAAGAGCCGGTGCACTGCTTCACTTTGTGTATGTGAGATCACAGCTATTACATAATTAGTTAAGTGTCGGCAACTCCTTGTGATTGGAAGATGCTGTGCTTCATTGATATAAAACCTCACACAGCCAAATGTCTCAATGATGACTTATACAATACGACCATAGGGTAGAAATGAAAAGCATTTGCACGAGCACCTTTTCCTTTTTCTCCCCTCCTTATCACTTACTATTACAATAGGCAAGGTTTCTTCTTGATGCCTACAGCCAAAGAGTTCCCGTTCACATTACAAATATCATCGGCACACGTTTTTAGCAGGGATGGTGATACTCAAGGTGGGTCAACATCTTAAGTAGGCTGCAGCACGTTGATGATGCGCAAGATGCTGTAGTGCTTTCCAAACCTCGAATAAGCACAACCACGTGAGTGCAGGTGATTCCAGTTAAAGAGATGCCTTTCTTTTCACATGAGGAAAGGGTCTCATTTTGAGCATCATGGATTTCTCAAGAATCGTTTGTGACCTCCTAATGAATATTGGCTTAACCTAAAACAACATCCAAGAGAAGCAGGTCATTATCATACGAGTCGTATTTTTGATCCAGAATCCTCCTTGATTTGCAAGTGGGGAGGCGGCAACTGAATCTCCTATATATTGATGAGGCGCTGCGGCAAAAAAATGCCCAAAGCTGGGTAGACCAGAATTCATGCATACCGGATACGACGTCGATCCTTTCTCACGGTTCCACAAGGGCAAGCTTTTTCCAAGGTGCCTGATTCTCGGTACCAAAAGCTTCATTGTCACATATTTTCACATCTTTTCAGGCAACAAGATCCATCACGCAGATCACATAGTGCTGCTTACAATATCCATGGATACATCAAAGAACGATTGAATTTGTTGTATGTTGATAAAAGTTACGATCCGCTAACAAACAAACGACATGCGCATTTGCTACAACAGTAAGGCACAGTAGTAACACGCAAGTTAAAGTGGAGATCAACGTCGTGAGCTGGAGGCAACGAGTGTAATAAAAAGGTCGTCTCACTCGCGCGAGAGTCACCTTGAAAATGCTCGTTTTCGAAATTGGATCAGGGGCATTGTTCAACGATGATCATAATAAGCTTAGGCATTTCCAGAATGTTTCTCGTTTGTGGCACTCCAAACCTTTAGTTATATTGTGCACATTAATGTCCTCACCAAATCAAGGTTGGATTATACCGTGTCAGCGAAAATGATATCCCCGGGTCGTCCAAGAAAGTACAGCAGTGGGAGGATGTAAATGCGCCTCATTGTAAAAGGGGATATCGAATGTACGCAGCCACCTATTCAAAAACACACCTATAAATACTGTGGTTTCCATGGAAACGTCTTTTGAAATCACTTCTTCATTCCTTCTTGTTAGACCCTCCCTCTTTCCTCTCCTTCTTTCAATATGAAGTGGTTCAAGGCTGGTCTTTTCCTTGCATCTGTGCAATTGTTAGCAACCGCTGTTACGGCTTATGAGAAGCTCGACGCATCCAAATTCACCTTGAAGGGTCATCCCAACCGATACGACAGCCTTATTGCCAAACTGGATGATGCTTTGCCCAACGTTAGTGTTGCTAAGGTGATTGCCGACACCAACCATCCCATGAAGGCCTATGCAGGCCACTCCAACTTTGTAAAGGATTTCACGTAAGCTTCTTTTTTTAATACCAAAACGTTTCCCTATGATATTTTATCCTTACAATACATACCGATCCATTTTATAGATGGGACAGAAAAGCAGGTTACAATGACCAGGGAACAACAGGCTGGTATCCTCAGGGTATTACCACCTCCTCTGATGCATACGACAAGGGCACCTATGGCAAAAACGATATCATCCTTGCATCTTGGTATGACCACGACAAGGATGGCGTTAACAAAGGTGTTCGCATTTCTTTCATTGACGCCAAAACCAAAAAGTATCGCAACGTATTGTTGGTTGTTCCTTCTACTTCCGCCAAGGGTCACATCACCTTCCATCCTGTCAAGGTCCATGCAGGCGGCATCATGTGGTATGGTGATAAGCTCTATGTCGTTGACACCAAGAACGGTATCCGTATCTTTGATTTGAACCATATCTATCAAGTGAGCATTGGTAATGGCATTGGTCATGTTGGCAAGGGCAAGTACCAAGCATACAAGTACAAGTAAGTCATCCCATCCATGATACCATAAATAATAATAATCCTCACTCACACACTTGTTTACCTTGTTTACATAGATACGTTATTCCCCAATGGGGGTAAGTACAATAGAGGCTGAGATGTTTTGGAAGCCAATGATGACTAAATATGATTGTAAAATTAGCCATTATCTCGCCGACAGTGCTGAAGCCAAGGACTTTAGCTATTCCTTCATTTCACTCGACCGCACCACTACCCCTGACTCTGTGCTTATTGGCCAATACGATGTCAAGGGAACCAACAACCGCATTGTTCGTTTTGATATTGATGCCAAGACTCGTCTTTTGAAGCACTCCAGTGGCACCACCGCTACCGCTACCGAATACTACAACATGGGTTTGAAGTCCATGCAAGGTGCTACATCCGTCAATGGCCGATACTACTTTTCTTGCAGCCGTGGTCCTAGCAAAGCCAGTGACTTGTACACATGGGTTGTTGGTGAAGAACCCAAGGTCCATAAAGGCGTTTTATCCGTCGGCAGTGAAGATCTCGCCTACCGAAAGCAAAACGACGAGTTGTGGAGTTTGGGTGAACATCCAAACAAGCGCCCTGTTTATGCCATCAAGGCAGGCAATTATTAAGCGTATAGAATGATAGCCTTCTTCTTTCTACATCATATCCATACATTAATCCAGATTTCCATGAGTGAATAAATCGATCATTGATCATCACAAATTCAGCCTGTTTGTGCCATGTCGTGAAGGTTAGCGTGCTTCACAATTCATTTAAGCACCCGCACCTTGTCAATCATTGTTGTTATTACTGTTATACTATTCTACCCAGGTTTCCATCTTTTGACGCCATTGCCATCGTCAGCAATAGAATACAATATTACTTTCAGGAGGACACTCATAGCACTTTCTTCTTCGTAAATGGAATGCTGACACACGTGGCTCCCTTGGACACATTATGGTTCAATTTTTTAGTGGTAGCCATCATTGCTCCCATGGATGCGTAGTAGTAGTGGATTTGTTTGATTGTGTGACAATGAACATGTCATTCTTTTCATAGACATGGCGTAATCATCATCAGGTTGAGAATGCCAAAGGCGGTGCATATGCTTCAAGACATTTAGGTTGGGCATGCTTTTATGGCTTACAGCGTTTCCTGTGCCGTTGATTCATGAGCTGTTGACGATCCGCCTACTATTCTAAGGTGAAGCTTGACCACTTTTCAAATCAATCAATCACGACTTCCTATGGCCAATAATCCTCAGACTCACGCACACACATAAAAAAGAGAGGCCGTTGTCACCTCTACTATCGCCCATCTCTTTCGTCTATTCGACTGCTTATGCATATCACAAGGGAATCCATCGTTTACAAAGTGCTGATGAATGGTATGGTGAATCAAGATCAAAGTAGCAAGGCCCATGGGTAAATTGCCATCAAGTATAAAAGAGCCTTATCATTTATTAAAAGAAAGTCAATACATGGGAGCAAGTTACCATGACATGATGGCTATATTAAAGTGTGTCAAACTCCTGGTGGAATGCATGGATTAAGGTTTAAAGTGCTTCTGATGTTGTAGAACCATATGTCAGCTGATGTGAAGCACTGTTGTTAGTAGTGTATGTTTACTTACTTGATACCCGAGCCGGTTCCCTGGTGATGATGATGATAGTGTGCATAGTGTGTGTGTATACAAAAGCTGTTTGTGATCACCACGACCGAGAGAGGAGAATTCGCCTTCCGCGCTCACTAGTTGACTATCTTGGGTTTCTTTCCTCTCACATTATTCCCTTGCACTCGACAGCCATCGTCCAATGTCCCTCATCCATGTCTGAAAGTAGGGCTGTAGCATATCCAAGACAAGTACGTATATCCAGTAAAGCCATGGTTCAGCTTGATAACCTTTGTTCTCTTCTCTTGCAGCGGCGAATACGGCATATCAAGTCTTTGGCTGGCCGGAACATTGCAGCAACCCATGAGGACGAGGCATTCCTGTCTACTGATAATGGCGATGTGGACATCGTGTCAACATTTGTTGTAGCGAGTCGTTCCTCGAGTGCGGTGACATCACGAGCATCGTCGCCTTCTGCCCAATGGGATAACACGCCATCGCGATCCAAGAGTACAGCCTTGCATCGACGCACGGGTTCTGTAGAGCCTCCTCCACCCCATTTATTGCCAGCAACGACTATGCGACGTTCTGAGAGCTCTTCATCGATTAGCAGTACAACCGTTGAGGATTCATCCATGACCAAGAGTGCATACAAAAAGAAACAACGACGTCCCGAATCAATGATATCAACCACAGCAGCATGTCCCGTCATCAACAATAGCAACAACACCTATGGCAAAGGATTGCTAGATTGCTATTATACATTGCACCTATCAGCAGAGGAAATGCCGTTTTATCGCAGTGAAATCATCCCCAATACCATTGATCCCACGTTTCGAGTATTGGATACATCTCAAGGGTCGTCATGGTATGATGGTGTCCAAACGGAGGTGGTCGTACGCCTATGGGCTCGCCATTCATTTCCAGAGTCTGCTACTCAAACGGGAGAACAGCATCATGATGCCACCAACAAAGCTGCAGATGATCAGGATTTTGAACTCGTTATCGAATGGCACGTGGATCTCAATGCATTGTCATGGATCGGTAAAGTGGTAAGCTCATTCAAACACCACCCCAGGGATAGCAAAGTAGAACTTACATCTTTCTTTTTTCAGTTGCAAGATATTCCAGGCGCCTTCCCTGAAAACACGTTATTATTTGAATTGGATGATGGTTTCTATACCGCGCCAAATATTGTGGTATGTATGTTGTCGGGTGTGTGCGATATGAAGTATACTTACTTTGGAATACCTATAGTCCAAGCTCTTGGCCCAAAGCAAACGATCGAGTTTAGCAGAGCCCTATAACGACATGGACCAAGCAAGTGTCAATACTGAAAACTCAATAAATAAGGTAGTACCATGCATGCAACCCATGTTTATGCAATGCCATTGACCTTTTCTTATGCACAGATAAAGCGATCATACACATACGATCATCTCTTAAAGTAAGTCTTGGACCGAGCTTCGTCGAATGAAATCATGGGCTAACAAATGGGGTATTTCGTTTGAAGGATCAACACACTAAAGGCTTGCGTCTTTGATACCCAACAATCTGCAAAAGAAGTACAGCAAAATATGAATGATCTTTTAATCAACGAAGCGGATCGATTCCGATTGGTAGGTGGTTTGATTCTGATATGGGAATGTGAGCACATGGTAATCCATGATTAGGTTCGCGAACGTAATTCAAGGCAATACAAGTTGGAAGGGATTGAAGGACAAATAGTAAAAAAGAATACCGAGATCCGAAGAGGCAAGGTTGATGGGGTGAAAGGCATGAGGTTATATGCTGATGATAGACTCTATATAGATCGTCGACGCATTGCCGAGTTACGTGAAACACTAGAGCGAAGGAAATCCAAGTTGAATGAAGCAACAGAACGATTAAGGCTGGGACAACAGGATTTACAAGATAGCGAGGAGGTCTTGGAGCGCAGTGTACAAACGCATCAACGATTGTTTCACAAATTGAATCGACGTAAGAAGGAATTGATTGCCGATCTATTTTCTATATACCCTATTGAACAGGTAAGATCTCGAGGAGTGAAGGGCCTTGAAGGAGAAGAGATGGATGGATGGGTGGGTGGGGGTGAAGAGGTCTCTTTTTTTTGTTGGTTGATCATGTAAGAAACAAAAAAGTCGCTCCATGATGTACATCAGTTTTGCATACGTGGTGTTTATCTGCCCAACTCGGTTTATACTGGCTGCAATGACGAGTCTATCGCTACGGCCCTTGGTTTTACTGCCCATTTGGTATCCATGCTTGCATTTTATCTCAGTATACCTTTACGTTACCCGATTACCCCAATGAGCTCTCGTGCCACCATCAAGGATCCTGTATCATCCATTAATGGACCCACGACGTACGTACAACAACCAACCAATCATCACCATCATCATGATACTAATGCAATGTATAGTTTTCCTTTGTATGCTAAAGGAGTTGATCGATACCGATTCGAATTTGGCGTGTTTCTTCTCAACAAGAACATCGAGCAGCTGATGAATGCCTATGGATTGATTGTGATGGATTTACGACATACGCTTCCCAACATTCATTACTTTATTCAAGCCATTCTTACGACATCAGAGTCATCAGGTCCTACTTCAGTGTCAGTACTTTCTATATCCAATTTTGCGAATCAACAGCATCCAACATCTCGTCCTTCTTCTTGTACACCGCCTACAACGACTACGACCACTGATATGGATGATGAACGTAAATCAAGCGAATCTTTGACGAATGGATCAATTCAAGTTCAGTCCTCACCACCCAAATCCTCTTTTGAAAACGATCAATTACCCAAACATCTCACACTACAACCCATCATTTCACCTGCGACACCATCTCCTTCTACATCTACCGCCTCCGTCACTTATTCCAAATTTAGCAGCTCTCCAAAACACCATCATCATTTGGGTTCCCCGGTAGCTCTTGTCAGTGCATCTCAAGCCATGGCTGCTCCCCCTACTTTAGATACAGTAACAACTACATCAAAGTGGAATTCAAATGATAAAAAGTAGACGTTGTTGTTGACCATGGATATATATTTACTGATGGATACAAGCGAAAAAAGGATATAAAACAGGATGTTGATGATGGTGGTGGTGGTTGATTATGATTGAGGACTAGTAAGTTAGCTATATATATATATATACGAGATAGAGAGAGAGAGAGAGGGTCTTTCGTTGCGGCACTGCCATGCTGATCGAGAGACATGTGGGGATGTGATATTCTTGTCGTGTTTTTGGAAATCGGTCCATGTCACAAAATGTTGCATATGGAACCCCTTGTTCGACGATCGAACCGTCCACGACCGATACGCACTATGGATTGGGAAATGCATTAAAAACACATCCAATGTAAAAAAAAAGGTGACCATTTTACGGCTAACATTACCAGGTAGAGCCACTCGAGCCGCTTGATCAAAGCATTCACGTACGCCACGGTTGTGCTTGGCTGAACATTCAAGGTATCTTACAGCATGGATCGATCGTGCTACCGCCAACCCCTTTATATAGACATACATACATCCATGAGTATACCACTATCATCCTTTTTACCTTCATTCTACTACAAACCTCTTCATACAGGATTGGATCTTGTATCCGGGAATTATCACGTAAATCGCACTTTAGAGCAACAAGGATGATTTTCGCTTGGGGTGAATGCTCCATCACTTCTTCCAACCATCGATGAGGAATATTGTCAAGGGAATCTCGATCATCGACCGAGAAACATAAAAGGAAAGCATGCGTATCTTGGTATGACAATGCTCTGAGCCTGTCAAATCCCTCTTGCCCTGCTGTATCCCAAAGTGACAATTCGACCGTTTGCATTGTATCCTCCAATGTCACGTCATGCACATAGTTTTCAAATACGGTAGGCTCATATGCCTTTGGAGAGAAAGAATCGAAAAAAGTGGGATGAGTATGTGTGCTTGTGTTTGTGTGTGTGCGTGTGCCTTGCTCTTTTTCAGGGAGATGACTGCCGCAGCAGCTGAAGGATAATGATAATTTACCTGTGGAAAGTAACCTCGAGTAAAAACGTTCAAGAGTGATGTTTTTCCACAGCCACCATCTCCTACAAGGACAAGTTTGCGACGTGCTGGAAGATGTTGTGAACGACGTGGAATACAAATGCCCATGAATGGAAAAATGGAAAAAGGAGTAGATAGAGAGAGAGAGAGAGTAGAGAGGGTGGTTGTGAGTTGAATGGGAAAGAAAGAGTGATAGGGAGAAAAAGTTGATTACTTTTTTATGCGCCACTGCAACCCGCTCTTTTTATATGCCTGGTTGTTGCCAAGCAAAAAAGAGTCGACCCTGATGGCTATAAAACTGCGCACATGGCACATGATACCACCCCCATCTTTCCAACAAACCCCCCCATACACACACATCAGCAAACATACATACAACTTTTACTTGCGCCTCTATTCTTTTTAGTCATTGTCACCGAAGGCTGAGCAATTTTTGTTGTGCCCTGAATCAATTTGAGTGTTCTTGGGGGCCAAATGATCCCATCGACCCTGATTGCTCGCGCCACTATTGTATAACACTGCTAAGGGTCATCCTTCTTACACTCATCTAGATATGCAATATCGCAAACAGGGTTTGCACGTACATATGCACAAATCCACACGCTTTTATGTATATACACGATCCTCTTTTATTAACCCCCCATACAACGCTGGTAACCATAACAACCATTATAAATAGGTTCGAAACGTAAAAAGTTATCTGGGTGGCGCAAATTGCTCAGGATGAGGTGTGCCACATGTTGTACGAAGAAAAAAGAGAGCGTCGTTGACTTATGCCAAACAATATCGCCTTCACACAGCCACAAATATACATTGCATCGTGCTGCTGCTGCTGCTGCTGTCGGTGGCTTTCCTCCCCATTTAGACATTCAAATCGATTTCATACATGCGTGCGGTTGTTTTTTTCAGTTGTTCTTATTTGTCCTCTTGAATAGCAAGCAATACATGTGTGTAGAATAGTCCAAGATAAAAAGAGGGGGAAAAGAGAGAAAAGGGGGATTTCTCTGTTTCTGTCGTTTATATGAAGAAATTGAGATTGGGAAATGCAAGGCACCATATGACCAGAATGAAGAAAAAAGTACACAGTTGAAAGATCAAAAGCAAAGGAGATAAAAGAGAGAGAAATAAAAGAGAACAAAGGTCCCTTTGTGATGCGTGCGGTGGTTTGATTGTGTGAGAGTTGTGAATATGTGTAAATAAGGCGAGGAGAGCGCGCGTAAATAAATTTTCAGGAGGCCTCCTGCATAACAGTATCCACGGATGCTGCTGCTGCTGCTGTTGGTGCTGTTGTAGTAGTTGTGGTTGGGGTTGCAGTCGTTACAGGTGCGGCTGGTTTGGATCCTCCTTCATCATCACCATCCACAGCCATAGCCTCTGCTTTGATTCCATTACCACCATTGATGCCATTATCACCATCACCAACAGTGCTGCTGCTTTGCTCCTCCTTGTTCTCAACTTGACCATTGGTTCTTGTTCCTTCTGATTGTATTGTTGTTTCATTGTTGTTGTTGAAAGGTGTAGTAGTTTCAACAGCTGTTGCGGACGATTCATTCGCCTGCATGGTATCTTGCTTCTTTGTTTCTTCTTTTGGTTGAGGCTCAGGTGTAGCCGATGCAGTGCCAGTGGTCAAAGTCGACTTGTTGCCATTACTACCATTCTCTGTTCCAGTTGCCTGTTGACGTGCAGCTGCCGATGTAAATGATACTCTCCAACGAGCCATAAGTTGCTTAGCGCGTGCTTGGATGTTGTATTCAACGTCGTCCTCATACACGTATAATCCAGCTGACTTGACAACCTGTCCAATTTTGGTGTCCTATCACAACCACCACCATCAGTATTCAATATCCCAAAAAAACCAGTTCCTGCCATGACTACTTACCCGTAGCAGTTGTGGCGTCATGTTTGATTCTTCTACACTCTTGAGAACCTGGGATATATATGGATATTCATCCTTGGAAATCTCACCCTATCTCATTCCATGAGCATCTCTTTTATCACCTGACATCCTTGTTTTCACCACTTACCGGCTTCTTTTGATAGACCAACTTTTGCAATTTGTGTCGCAATCGATACATTCTCATACGCTCCTTATCATATTCAGCTGCTTCATCCTTTGGCTTTTCAGGCTCACCACTCGTATTGCGTTGAGATGCGGCAGGGCTAACGCGACCTTCTTCCTTATCCGATGAAGAGACAGATTTGCGCTGAAAGAGAGAGAAAGAGAAAAAAGTCAATCAAACATGTTGTTGCATGACACACAACTCCCACGCCCATCACGACCACAAACACGCGTATACGCAGCAACACACACAACCCCCAACTTACCCTTTTCTTTCGACCAGTATCCGTTTCATGAATAGCATCCTTGTCTGATTCTTCCAATTTGCGTGATCGTCTCTTTGCTTTGGCAGGACTCGATTCGACCTCTTCTTCCTCATCCTCATCCTTGGATCGACTCTTTGATCGCTTTGGTGCCGCCTTTTTCTTTCCAGCATTGGCATTCTTGGCAGGCGATGCCTTTGATCGTCCTCTCGTTGTCTTTTTGGTGGTGATGACCTCCTCTTCCTCTTCCTCTTCATCCTCTTCTTCTTCATCATCCTCTTGTTCCTCCTCTTCCAATAATGACGGATCCAAAGCTTGGCGAACCGCATTCTCCAATTCCCTTGTCTTGAACTTTTTCGCCTTCATGTCGCGTTCCACAGCAACAGGATCAAATGGCCTGATCATTTCTGGTCCAAAGAAACCACTATCATCATATCAATGATACTTGTTCCATATTGTTCTATCCCGCCTCGTCAAAGAATACTTACTAGTCTCTTGAGCCAAAAAAGAATACGGTCCATACTGGTTGTTTGGATTTGGTGGACTTTTGCTTCATAACCTTGGCTGGAACTCGCCTCTCATCTTCAATCTAGCAACAATGTCAGGATTAGCAACATGCCCATTGTGTCAAAGAACAAGAGAAAAAAAAACTGCTTGCTTGCTTCCAATGGTTGTTTTGGTCCTCAATGTGCAAACCTCCTTTGACCTTTGTCCCCCTTTCCTTCTCCTGTGATCGTAAGCCATGGCGACAAAGAGAGTGTGGATTCCATTCAAAACAAGTTGATTGCAACGATTCGTAAAAGAAAGTGTGGAGGGGTGGTGGTAGGCGACGAGGAAGGCAAAGAGACGACGACGAAGAAGCATGTGGAAAGCAAGCAAGCATCCTTTTTTTCTCACACGAAAAACACACCCATGAGAAAACTTACTCTGGCTGGCCACCATGGATAACCCTTTAGTTTTGCAAAGACAATAGTTCCAGGAGGATAATCTTCTTGACGCATAATCGATTCGATATGCAATGATTCGACGGATAATAGAGGTTGTGTTGGGTTCGATGCAATAAAAGTGTGGTGTGTGTGGGATATGTGTGTTGGCGCTGAAGGGGTAAAACAAAGCAAAGTGAGTGAGAGAGAGAGAGAGGAAAAAAAAGCCAAACCAAAGAGAAGAGAGAAAGAGTGAGAGAGAAAATATCGGGCTTGAAAACCAGCTCACAAAGGCGGACCTCATTAGCCAATAGGATCATGCATCACTATCCGAACCTAGTCAAGACGCACACACACACATACACACACACCACGCAATGTATGCGAAAGGAAAGAAAAGTTGTCTTGTTGCTAAAAAGTGAATGGCTTTCATTGTTCAATCACGTACCACAATGGGGATAATTGCGTAGAGCATTGAAAGAGAGTGATTGTGCACACATAAGGAATGCACACAAAATACGATAGCGGGGTCCCCTAATTCACCCCCCTTCTTTCATTGACCATAAAGAAGCAATAGGCTGGGTAACCCACACCATCAACCCACCCCCCACACACACCAGCACAAAAGCACACACTCAAGGCCTTTGCACAAATGTGGCAAATGGTACTATCCTAGCCCGCCTCTCCTTCCTCGGCTTCGGTCGGGGTTACCCGACATCATTATTATCGTCATTGCACTTCTTTTGTCTCTTTCTCCCCCCCCCTTTCTATCTATCCCCCAATTCACCCCTTTGATGAATGGATGTGGTTTTTATCTCTCTTTGCCCACACATCATTCTTTACTACATCCAGCATAATTTCAAACAGGTACAAAATGGTTCCATTGTTGCTAAAACTCTTTAAAGTATCGGCGATAAGGATCAGCACGTGGTACCCCATAAGGCATTTTCTGTTCCGGATACTGATCAAAATTAATAGCATCGCCTTGGCCAGAAAGTTGCGGAATATAAGGCGGCGTCACGCGGAGAGCCACGTTCTAAAGTTGATGTTTGTACTTCGTTCAGTTACGTATTCCCCGCTCCCCCTTCTTTCATTGACCATAAAGCAATAGGCTGGGTAACCCACCATCAACCCACCCCCCACACACCAGCACAAAAGCACACACTCAAGGCCTTTGCACAAATGTGGCAAATGTTTTATCTAATACCTCTCCTTCCTCGGCTTCGGTCGGGGTTACCCAATCATTATCGTCATTGCACTTCTTTTGTCTCTTTCTCCCCCCCTTTCTATCTATCCCCCCACCCACCCCTTGATGAATGGATGTGGTTTCTTTATCTCTCTTTGCCCATCATTCTTTTACTACATCCAGCAATTTCAAAACAGGTACAAAATGGTTCCATTGTTGCTAAAACTCTTTAAAGTATCGGCGATAAGGATCAGCATGTGGCACCCCATAAGGCATTTTCTGTTCCGGATACTGATCAAAATTACTAGCATCGCCTTGGCCAGAAAGTTGCGGAATATAAGGCGGCGTCACGCGGAGAGCCAACATGTCTTCAAAGTTGATGTCGCTGAACCCTTTTGAAGATTGCATAAGCGTCCCATTCCTCCCCACCCTTTTTTTTCCACTTACATGGATGATCCATGACATCTCGATACCCTCTTGCCAAATTACCATATCTTCGAGTGAGATCCGTAGTCAACAAGTGCTTGAGCAAATCACGAACGTTGGGATGAAAATGAGAAGGGAACTGTGGTTCAGACGTCAAGATTTTCTCATAGAGCCGGAATTGACTTTCGTCATTAAAGGGTGGGTAGCTATATATAACGTTGAGTAAAGAGGCAATAAAAGAATCAGACCATGATAATGATGATGATACATTACCCCGCCAACATTTCATAAATCAAGACACCCAAGGACCAATAATCAACAGCCTTGCCGTATCCTTTGGATTGAATAACTTCAGGTGCAAGATAATCAGGTGTGCCACACAAGGTCCATGTGACATCCGGCACGCGTTTGGCAAATCCAAAATCTGTCAATCGAATATGGCCCGATGTGTCAATCAGGATATTTTCTGGCTTGAGATCACGGTACACAATCTCATGCGCATGAAGATACCTATAGTAGTAGTAGTAGCAACATCATCCTCTATCAGTTGCCTTCCCTCTATAGAGACGCCCCCCCAACCTTCCACTTACACTATCACAAGGAATACTTCGGCAGCATAAAACTTTGCAACAGCATCTGGAAATCGTTTGGATCGTCTCAAATACGAGAATAGCTCACCGCCTGGAACATAATCCATCACCATGTACAAGTTGACATCATCCTGAAAAGTGCCCCATAGGTTGACAATGAAGGGGTGAGACACTTGCATCAACAAGTTACGCTCGTTCTTGGTGTGTGCCACTTGTTTCAACCGCACAACATCTTCTTTTCGAAGCACCTTGATGGCATAGTAACGTTCATTGTGTTTTGAGTTGACAAGATGCACCCGTCCAAAGGAGCCTGTGCCAAGGGTACGCAATAATCGAAAGTCTTGAAGCTCCAAAGGTCGTTCTTGGATTTGATTCTCGGGTTGTTTCTCGTTCAACAATGGTGGTGGATCTTGTGTAGGAAAATCGGATGAGAATATTGGGGCGTGTGTTGATGCTTCCTCTGGATTAGCTTCTTCGGGGGAATCATGCGATGGCGAATTGTTGCCTTCGGGTACAACAGGCTCTGTGACAGGTGTTAATATCCGGATTTTCATTATACAACATACCACACACTTACGAAAATTAAACTCTTTGTTGGTAGTGGTGGTAGTGGTTGGGGATGTTGTACGGTTGGGTGTGGTGGGTGATGATGATGATCGAGTTGTGGAAGATGACTTTGGTGATAATGTGGGTGACAATACTGTACATAGACGACATGCATCGTACATGTAAATACATAAACGTCATATGTGTTAACCCAATCAATTTTACCTTTGGGTGGTGATTCAGCTATGGAGCGGTTGTGGTTGTTCTTTGATACAGCTTCTTCAGATCCACGAGGTGTTGGAGGCAAGCCTACTGATAAATGCTCATCCTCGGCACTGTGATTACTTTCTTTTCTTGGTGATCGTGGAGATAATGGACGTTTTGCTTTGTCGATCAATTTGTTGAGCATTGTTCGTTGTTTGGAGAATAAAAAAGTGGGTGAGAAACAGGGAAAAAAAGAGCGAGTAGGAAATACCAATCGATATGCAGCATACGCCAAAGTTTCAGAGCTGCTTTTTATGCAAAATGTCACGGTTTCACATTATGGAGGGCAGAATTTCTATTCCTAGCAGCATCAACATGTGTGTTTTACCAACGACGATCACATCAGAAGTTTTGTGTGCACGTATATAGCACTTTATTATTCTTTAGGGTTGTACATTGCCATCATCATGAGAGGCGTTGCTTCATTTGTTTACCGGTGGTGGCCACGGAGCATCCTGATCGCCTATTTTAGGATGTTAGCTACTTGCAGGACAAACATGGCCAACCTCCTTTACCAAGGGTAAGAATAATCAGTCTTTTATTACTTTAGGCTTAGTGCAGCTATCCCAATGCTGTAGAATGACTCGTTGGATCGCAAAATTGAGAGCCAAACTATGTGCATAAACCCCTGCGAGTGGTAAATCCTGGGCCTTTTATGCATTAAAGATATAGCATATGACGTAGCATCCAAAGAATGCCTTGATCAATGATGAAGCAGAACACATTCTATGCGGGTGATGTTGTGATACGGTGGATGGCCTATGTTTTGCCACTGCCTCATTCCGCGGGATCCATCACTTACTGCTTTTGTGTATTTGTTATCAATAACAATGGCGTCTTTGGCTTCAACTTGCAAATCAAAGCTAGATATTAGAGCTTGGCTCTATATTTATGACGACATTCATGGTTGGCAAATCTCATGCTGATAATGTAAATGGACATCATTGGGCAATGCATTCTAAAATTTATGCGAGATGATGATGATGATACTCCAAATCGTATGTTTCCCATCAACACATAGCACACATGGATACGTGATGATCATTAAGATTGATAGGGCATTTGTATTTATAATTGCCATTCAAGATGTATATCTGCTACTACTGCTAAAGCCTCGCTCGAGTCGCCATGATACCAAAGGTTGGCATGTCCAAGGATCAAGTCACCTGACGCGGAGTTGCTTAGGAAACAACGATGATTTCGGTGTGGTGTTGTGCACAAGCTCTCACCTTGTCTCTCTCTCTCGCTCTCTTTTTTTGATCGCGCCATGGCTGATTTCGAAGGAGGATATGGTTGTGCCGTTGGTCTTCTCACCTACGATTGCTTTGATAACATTGAGGAGTTCGTGCAAGAGGCTATTGATTCCGGCCACGATTTTGTCGCAACGCCCATTGTCCATTCAAAATACAGTCGAGTGCTCGAATGCAAAGCAGGGGATAGCTGGCGAGACGCACCTGTCTACGATCGCGGCGATCTTGTCCTTCGAAAAGCACGTAAGAAATAGCATGACCCAACGACCTTGACATCTAAGGATTAAAACACGTGATTATAGAATGGTCTGATGCGGTGGCCGGCAGCTTGTCGGAATGGATCCAATTAGATTCAAAAGATGATGATATCCGTATCAACTCTGAGCTGGTAAGTAGGTGGGTGGACGATAAGGAAACGTGCATGTGTCTGTGTCTTATAAGAAAATGTAGGCTTTCAAGCAAGAAGTTGCATTTGCATGTCATCTTGGTCTCTTTACGGTGATCACACCACGCTTGGTGCCTGGTACAAGTTGTATCAACATGGCTCGTGTTATCAACCATCTTGTCACTGGCATGTCTGTTACACAGGTAAAGTCATGCTAACTTTGTATCTATACATACCACAATCCACTCACCATAGGATGGATTAGATGTGGGTGCATGTATTGATGGATAACCAACATGCGGCATGGAGACAATGGAATCAATTCCGAGGTTTGACTGAGAACAATCCCAAAATTGGAGTGGGTAAGTAAATGAGTGGATTGTATCTATATATATAGGCTAGTGATATTGATTGGTTGTTGTTTTAGTGTTGGAGTTACCTGCCGTTTTGCCCGAGGATGACATGTTGTTGGATGCATGGTTCGCTGAACCTGTCAAAGCCGTCATTGTCCCAAGTGAGATCTTTATCAGCAATCCTAAAGGTTACCCCGTCTTGAGCAAGCGCCATCAATCATTTGTCAAAAAGCTGATGCGTCGTGTAAGCATGTCATCATGACTGTATATTGTGGAATAAGGTGACTCAACATTTTTTATTATAGATGCAACCTCAAATGATTGTCACCGTTCCTACAACTCAAATCCATGCAAGTGCAACACCATCCTCTTATCAAGAATACATCCACTATCTTCATCGCAATTTACCAGCAATGGACCAAGTGGAGGAATTTGCTTCTGGATATCAAGATTACTTACAAGCGCCTTTACAACCCCTGATGGACAATCTTGACAACAACATGTACGAGACCTTTGAAAGAGACCCCATCAAATACCAGGAATATGAAAAGGTAGTAGCAGCTACAAATCAATAGGGGCTTGCTTCATGCTAACGAAGAAGTGGATCTTAGGCTGTGTATCACGCTTTGTTGGATCGTGTTGAACATGGATCGGACTATGTCACGTAAGTACAAGCATTGACTTGGAAAACCCAAATGGGTTCTCATTGTAAGAGTATAGGAAAATCATGGTGGTCGGTGCTGGACGTGGTCCTTTGGTGAATTGCTGCTTGCGTGCTGCTGACAAGGCCGAGCGCAAGGTACAATTGTACGCTCTTGAAAAGAACCCCAATGCATTTGTGACGTAAGGCTTTCTCCTTGATGTAATGCATGCAAATGGATGACTGATGGATCAAACATGTTTAGGTTACAAAATGCCAAAGCCGAAGAATGGCATGACCGTGTCACGTTGATCTTTGCCGATATGCGAAAATGGAAACCGGATACGAAGGTGAGTTGGGTTGATCATACCTCGTAGTCGTTGTAGCTAAGCATCATTACGATAGATTGATATTCTTGTGAGCGAATTGTTGGGATCATTTGGTGATAACGAGCTCTCCCCCGAATGCTTGGATGGTGCACAAAAGTTCCTCAAAGGTAAATTTGATCCATGCGATCATGGCAAAAGAACAAATGGCTCATAGAGTGATATAGATGATGGTATCTCGATCCCTGCCTCCTACACCGCTTATGCTGCACCCATGGCTTCATCCAAGTTATATAACGAGGTAGCTGCTTACAAGGATCTCGTGCATTTTGAGACACCCTATGTTGTTATGTTTCAACAAGTCTGTGAACTTGCCCCTTCCAAAGCCTTATGGACATTTGAGCATCCCAATCTTGTGATCCCCAAGGACCAAGACCCCACCAATAACCTTCACAATGCACGTTACAGCCGAGTGCAATTCACTGTCAGCGACAAAGAGGATATGGTGATGCATGGCATCTCTGGTTATTTCGAAGCAGTATTGTACAAGCATGTCAAGATCTCGATTCATCCAGAGACGCATTCTCCTGGCATGTTCAGCTGGTTCCCTATCTTCTTCCCTATTCGAACACCTATGCAAATTCCCAAGGGATCGACTGTGACATTGGACTTTTGGAGAGTATCGGATGCGAAAAAGGTCTGGTATGAATGGAGCGGTACCGTGGAATCAGATCAAGGCAGCCATACAGCCGTACTACCTATTCACAACGTGGGTGGTCGTTCTTACTGGGTCGGATTATAGAGAAAGAGAGAGAGAGGAATATCATATACGTGTATATATAACATTCATGATGCTGTATTATCATCCTTATAAAAATGACATTCTTGAGTATTATCATTCTTTTGATATGTGATGGGTCATTGTAAAGTACCAATCTCAATTCGGGATTAAGACAAGCTGCAAATTCAAGTTAAAAGAAAGGGGATAAAACCCTTTATTCATCACTGGAAAACAACGACAATTCAAAAACAACTACAATCAATGTGTGATGATGATGACGACAAGAGCTCAAAATGAGGATTGAGAGAGAGAGAAAGAAAGAAAACCACTAGAGGCGGGATCTCAAGGGGTTCTCGACAGTGATGTTCAAGAACATGGTACCTTGATGACGAGCTGGATTGACAGCGATCCATTCACCCTGTTGTTGCTGTTGATGGATGAGCTGCTTGTTCAAAGCTTCAGCGGGATCAATGGCAATCTTCAAGCGAAGGTTACCATGCTCGGAGGAGTAGGCTTGTCCAGCAGGGATGGTGAACCATTGCTTATCCATGCCTTGGTTCAAAAAGACCACGTTGCCTTGCTGTTGGGTGGTTGTTAGGTAGGAGGTAGGACATGTCTCAATGATTTGAATGGGTTGTTGTTGTTGCTGAAGAGGCGACAAGGGGTTCGTTTGGTAAAGGACACGAGTAGCAGTAGCAGCACCCAATGTTGGTTGATCGATCAACATGTCACGATCAAGCACCTTGATGCTTTGACGGAGTTGTTGAAGTTCAGCTTCACCCAAAGCCTTTTCAACCAATACAGCCTTTTCACCACGTTGCTGAAGGAGCTGTTGTTGCTCCAATGGAGATTGCACATAGATCTTGTTGGCATAGGGGTTGCTGTCAAACACCTTGAAGAACACCTGGTTTTGAGTAATGCCACTCTTGGGAGTGATCATGGATGGATCAAGCACCTTGAAAAAGGCAGGGGCATGGCTGATGTTGGGAATCATGCCAGCAGCAGCAGCAGAAGGTACATTGAGGAACTCACTTTGTGGCACCTTGACATAGATGTTGCCATCCACAGTGAGGTTGGTGGTGTCGAGAAGCTTAAAGTAAGCGTTGCCACCCATTGGCCGTTGCATAGGAGACATGTTGTCAAACAAGTTGACATACACGTTATCCATCAAATTTTGGCCAAACACACGCTGACCTTGTTGGCATTGCTGTTGTTGTTGATGGCATTGCTGCTGGCATTGTTGTTGTTGCTGGAATTGCTGTTGGTTCAGCTGTTGTTGTTGTTGGAAATGATGTTGATTCAACTGCTGTTGTTGCTGGAAATGTTGTTGACCCAATTGCTGCTGTTGTTGCGATTGTTGCAAGTGCACATGCGACAAAGGTTGTTGCTGGTAAAGTGCCTGATACTGCTGCAATTCGGCAATATCCTTTTCAATCACCTTGACAAACACCTTGCGATTGTCACCAAAGTTGGGCAAGGGGACCGAGATGGTCTTGTTCCATGCACCACGACGATTCAATTGGTCAGCAACAATGGCAGATTGGATCTCGCTGCTGCTTGTGAACTGAGGTTGTTGCTTCTTGATCACCCAAAGTTCACTAATAAAGATGTGGTTAAAGCATTGTGATATGAAAGGATAGTAACAACTTACACGAAGACATTGCCTTGCTATAAAGAAACAAGCAAAAGGTATGAGCAAAAGATCATTTCATATGCACCATGAGACTTACAGCATCCTTTTGGCCTTCAATGGGACATGCTTCAACAGCTTGCATATACACCTCGACGTCCGATGGGAATGGGTACAAGGATGATGGTTGCTGCAAAAGACCAAGACGACGTTGCTCGTTGACAAGGTTCAAGGAAGGCTCAGTGGAAATGACAAGCATGCCACGGTTGTTGGTGTTGACGTTATAGAAAGGAGTCATTGTTTGATTTGGAAGTTCAATTGCTTGAGAAGATGAGTGAGATAACTCAATCCACACTTCCTTGACGGCCTTCTTTTATACAAGATGGCGACCCACTATCCCCCAACAACCTTTTTGTTTTTTCTTTTTTCCATCCCAACGAAAGCATACGGACCGACAAGCAAAAAGGTGTTATTGAAAGGAAGTCGTTGGGATCATGCAAGATGGGCAGCCTCCAATTTCATGCGGATGGGAACAAAGCCAGATGCTGAATTTGGAACTTCCCGCTCTCTGTTGGTAATTTGGCATATCTCTCCCACACACACGCTCACGCTCACGCATTACACTACACCCAAAAAACTCAAAGCTATGCATGATGCATGCTGCTCATCGTGTTTGTAAATCATGCACCTTGAAAGAGAGAGAGAGAGAGTGCAAATAATGCAACGTGTTACATTGTGTTGGGGGAAAAAAGGATTATTGGGAAATGACAGCAACATGTACATATAGCTCTTGTCGTCGGCTTCTCCCACAAAAGAAAACCACATGAGAGTTGCTGTACTCTTTCGAAAGCCCAAACATTCAACGGCTTTATTTTTTGCATGGAACATCATGAAGACGGGTGGTGGGGTCATATGCTCAAGTCTATTGGAGGCAAGTGAGGAGAGTTTTAGCCACTTTGCTGTTGTGGAATGTTTTGGTTTTGTCGAGACCAACGCGTGAGTGGCTACTTTAGATAGCTCAATGTCTTAACACAAATGGTGTGGTGAAACCGACTAAGTTCATTCAGTTTGTGTTGCCCAAGATTTAGCGTTGTTGCAACAAAATAAGCTGTCTACATAGCAACACATATCCAAGTCGTGGATGTATATGTATCCATGCGTATAACCAAACTACAAGGGGGGTTGGAATATGGCTAAGCCAATGTATTATCATGTGCAAGTCTCTATTCGAAAAACAAGATCAAGCGGGGGTTATATTATAGAGAGGGAGTACAAAGATCGGCAAGTAATTTATCCCACAAAAGGCGCGCGGCCCGGTGGCTGCCGATAAGATTCATCCGTTGTGTATGGGGGAGTGATGAGTGGGTGAGAGGGGGAGCATGGGTTGAATGGTGGAACAAAGAGTGGGATTTTTTTACTGCCTTTTGCTTTCTCAGCGATCTTTTGCTTCCCTTGTTTGGTCGGAAGACTTCTCCTTTGTGCATTCTTTATTCTCCATTTGACTCTTTGTTTATTCAGCATCAAACGACGCTTTCCTTTCCCATTATCCAATCATCATTCTTTCACTCTTATAGAATAACAATCATACACAGAGTATGTATCTTCTTTATTACATCCCAAGTGTGGTAACCCTATCATCTTTATCTGACAAAAGCAAACCCCAACTCTAGACATAAAGTCCAGGGGTGGTTTATTTCCTTCAGACGACAAACGAGCGACTCAAATATACCATCACCTTTTCTTTCGCTCATGATTGATACACGGCAGCGTTTCAACCGCCTTTTTCGTCGAAAGAATGGTGAACAACAACAAAAGCAACAATCAACAGGCGAATTGCGAAGGACCGAATCGACGTCCTCGTACATGCAGAGGCGGCGACACATTTATGTCAATATGGAGTTACCGTCATTCGAGTACGACGAGCAGGGAAATCGCATAAGCGGCCAATATGTCAGCAATCGCATTCGCACAGCCAAATACACTCCTTTGACTTTTATTCCCAAAAACCTCTTTGAGCAGTTTCGTAATGTGGCCAACTTGTACTTTTTATTGCTGGTGGTGTTGCAATGCATTCCCATCTTTGGTGTCACAGAGCCAGCCGTATCAGCACTACCACTCATGGCGATCTTGTTGATCACGGCCATCAAGGATGCGATCGAGGATTACCGACGTAGCCAAAGCGACAGCCGAGTCAACAATGCAAAGACGTTAAAGCTGGCCAACTGGACCAATGTCAATGTGGAAGATACCAGTGGAAGTCGATGGCACGGGTTGCATATCTTTTTCGGCTTCTTTTGCATGTTGGCAGGCGTTGAGAACCGTTATGCACATACGTATCGATTATCCATCACGCGTAAAAAGCCTGTGCAGCAAGCAGCTTTGGATACTGCCAGCACTCGATTATCAAGAACCAGTAGTAGTATACGACGACCCGCATCATCTTATGCAGCTCATAGTGATCAACCCTCGTCATCAGCATCATCACCACCATCCAAGCGACAACAACAACAGCGTTATGGAGACCAACAACATCTTCAGCAACCTGAATCATCATCATCACCTCGACCAGGATCCAGGTTACTAAGCACAGTGCGACAACGATCGGATACGCTACGTTCAGAACTCAGCAGCATGTTCAAACCTCCTACCATCAAACGCAAATCCCGCCAACCTTATCGACCCGGTTCCATTCCTCACTCTGTATTGTATCGTACACCGACCACTGAAACGGGTGTGGAGGATGCTGGTGGTTTGCCAAGACGTAGTACAAGTATGAGACGACGACCTTCGAGTGTCCATCCTGGAGAAGAGGAAGAAAAGTGTGCGGATTTGGCACCAGGTGATCCACCAGCACGCAAATGCAAGGTGTTTTGGCAAGAGGTGCGTTGGGAAGATTTGTCAGCTGGTGATTATGTCATGCTGCGCAACAATGATGATGTCCCTGCCGATATCGTTGTCTTGTCAACATCTGAAACGGACAACATGTGCTTTATTGAAACTCAAAATCTCGATGGCGAGACCAATCTCAAGACGCGTCAAGGATTGACAGCCACAGCCGATTTGCGTACGGTGCATGATTGTGAACGAGCACGTTTTTACATTGAAAGTGAACCTCCTCATGCCAACTTGTATCAGTACAATGCTGCCTTGCGATGGGATATTGATCAACCAGAGGATAATCAAACAACCGTATCGCATCAGAAAACAGAAGCCGTCACCTACAGCAACATTCTTTTGCGTGGTTCGGTGCTTCGTAATACGCAATGGCTCATTGGCGTGGTGGTCTTTACAGGCGTGGAAACAAAGATCATGCTCAATTCAGGCGCTACGCCATCCAAACGTAGCAAGATCCAAAAGGAAACCAATCCTCATGTAAGTAGTAGTAATAATAATAGTCAATGCATGCATTGGTACTAAGATAGTATTTATAGGTCATTGCCAACTTTGTTATTCTTGCCATCATTTGTATTGTAAGCTCAGTCCTCGACAGTGTTTATTTTGGGACCAGTGGATCGATGCCGTTCTTTGATTTCGAGATACGTGGTAACAATGCAAGTTATGATGGTTTCCTGACATTCTGGTAAGTCAATCAAAATCCCTGCATTATTATGCATGTTCGGGCTCCTAACCTTATCCTATAAAAGGGTAACCTTGATCCTGTACCAAAACATTGTGCCGATCTCCTTGTATATTTCGGTTGAAATTGTAAAGACGTTTGCGGTATGTTGCTTTCATGTATACATCAACGTTCATGATGGCTAATATGGAATGGCTTTTGTAGGCATACTTTATTTATGCGGACATTGACATGTACTATGAAAAGACGGATACCCCTTGTATTGCCAAGACATGGAACATTTCTGATGATCTGGGACAAATCGAGTACATCTTCTCCGACAAGACGGGCACCTTGACGCAAAACGTGATGGAGTTTCGTAAATGCACCATTGATGGCGTATCGTATGGCTTGAGTTCTACTGAGACCGATTTGATGCGAGATCAACAGCAACAAGGGGATGAAAAGATGGATTTATCGGATGCTGAGGATGCTGAAGAGAATCGCATGTCGGCCGTTATGAAGGAGATGTTTAAGAAACAACAGCTCTTGTTTGAAAACAAGCACGTGGGCCCCAAACCCACCTTTGGTGACCCCAAGTTTTTCGAAGACCTTGGCAAACAAGATACGCCTCATTCTGTTGCTATGATCCACTTCATGTCAGCCTTGGCATTGTGTCACACCGTCATTGCCGAATGGCCCAGCGAAGAGAATCCCGATTTGATCGATTATCGCGCCACTTCACCTGATGAAGCTGCCCTGGTGGCAACGGCACGTGATCTTGGTTTTAGCTATATTGGTCGTGATGCAAACACCTTGTCCGTTGAAATTATGGGTGAAGTCAAAAACTTTGAATTGCTGGATACGCTCGAATTCAATTCGTCACGCAAACGTATGAGTGTGGTTATCAAGCCCCATGACAGTGATCGTATCATTTTGTTATGCAAAGGTGCCGACTCGGTCATTTATGAACGTCTCTGCGAAGACTTTGGTGATCAAGCCGAACTTGAAAAGTCGCAAAAGCATCTTCAGACCACCACCATGGATCATCTCGAAGCCTATGCTAATGAAGGTATGTTTTGGATTATAAGGAAGACGCGCACGACGACATGGTGACTTATTGTTATTATTTGTAGGTTTACGTACACTGTGTCTTGCGTATCGTTTCATTTCTCAAGAAGAATACAAGATGTGGAATCGAAGATACCAAGAAGCGTGTGCTAGCTTGTACAATCGTGAACAAAAGGTGGATGAAGTGTGTGAAGAAATCGAAGTCAACATGTTGTTGATGGGCGGCACAGCTATTGAGGATCGATTGCAGGATGGTGTTCCTGAAACGATTGCTGAGCTTGCACAATCTGGTATCCGTTTGTGGGTATTGACAGGCGACAAGACCGAGACAGCTATCAACATTGCCTATTCGTGTAACCTCATCACCAACGACATGCAAATGCTGATTTTGAAAGCCGACACGCGTGCTGATACCGAGAAGCAGATCAAAGACGCTTTGGCAGCAGCCTATGATCCCAAGGCGAATCAAAAGCTGGCTTTGGTCATTGATGGTACCACCTTGAAGTATGCCTTGGAGGATGAATATCGTGACATGTTGCTACGTCTCGGCATGAAGTGCAATAGCGTCGTATGCTGTCGTGTCAGCCCCAAGCAAAAGGCTCAGGTGGTGACTTTGGTCAAACGAGGTCTCAAGGTAATGACGCTCGCCATTGGTGATGGTGCCAATGATGTCAGCATGATTCAAGAAGCCAATGTGGGTATTGGTATCTCTGGTGTGGAAGGTCGTCAAGCTGTGATGGCTTCTGATTATGCTATTGCCCAATTCCGATTCCTACGCAAATTGTTGCTGGTACACGGCCGCTGGTCCTATCTACGCACAGCTGAAATGATCATGGGCTTCTTTTACAAGAACATTGTATGGACATTTGTATTGTTTTGGTTCCAAATCTTCTGCCAGTAAGTTATCTTTTTTATACGTGGATGCCCCCAAAAGATGCATTCTCATTTATTATTTGAAAAACATAGGTTTACAGGCTCAATGATCTTTGATTACTCGCTCGTGACATTGTACAACTTGATCTTCACCTCGCTGCCGATCATCTTTTTGGGTATTTGGGATCAAGATCTCTCTGCAAAGATCTCGCTGTGCTATCCAGAATTGTATCGGATGGGTCTACGCAATGACAAGTTCAAGGTGTGGCGTTTTTGGGCAACGATCTTTGATTCGATTTTCCAATCGGCCGTGTGCTTCTTTTTCCCTTACATGCTGCTGATTGCAGGTGCACCTGATAAGGCGGGCTATATTTCGAATGGTGTTTATGAAACAGGCACTGTAATGTCAAGTATCGCAGTGATTGTGGCCAATTTGTTTGTCGGCTTGTCCTTGTATGAGTTCACGTGGATCCAAATCGGCATTATTGCTTTATCCATCTTGGTATACTATGCCTTTGTTGGTATCTATGCCCAGTTCAATACGTTTATCTTTGCTGGTCACGATCGCCTATTTGCTGTTGGATACTATTGGCTTATCCTTATCCTCACGGTCTTTGCCAGTTTCTTGCCACGTGTCACGGCCCTGTATTATTTGCACGTGTATCAACCATACGACAATGATATTGTACGTGAAATCGAGCTTGTTCTAAAGAATGGCAGATATGAACGACGCGAATCTCTAAGTGCTGGAAGAGAAACTGGATTACCTCCCAACCATGTCAAGCAAGAGCAACAACAATCACAACAACCGAATAGCAGCAACAACACATGATCCTTTTAACCCGCTTTTCTTACTATCTTACCATCATCCTTATTCCTTTTCCTTCCCTCCCCCTCCTCCTTCCCTCATGTAATTGTATCTCGTGTAACTTTTTCCTTCGTATTCACAACACCAAGTAGTATTAATAACTTGTTCTTGACGTTCAACTGTACTACTCGCTCCATGTACAATATAATGACTTTTTGCCATCTAATATGACATCTTAAATTTGCGCATGTAATCCCGTTTTGGAATCCGGAGCTGCATTACAACACTTCTCTCTCTCTCTCTTTCGAATTCATCTTTTATTCTTTGAGCCTATCTCCTACAGCAACAACAACAACAACAACAACAACTGTGCTGTAAAGCAACGCGTTCATAAAACTCGTCATTGGTGTGCATGAAGGCCATCGATCCTGCCAATGTGCTGCCTTGCGAAATCCTTGCAGCCATCTTTATTCAGTTGACACAGCGTGAATGCCTTGAGTGCATGGCCGTTTCTCGACATTGGTATTCCACTTTACCTTCATGCGTGCATGGTGTTTTCTCTTCTATGGTGCTACGAGGAAGACATGATTACACACACAACAACACGTTTCGGCAATGTCTTGGATCTCACGTGCGAAAGGTGACCATTGAATCATGCAACAACTCGGATATCCTCTTTGGTATCACAACCATCCTGGAGACATATGGCTGTCGACAGCTTGAATCATTAGGTATGCATATGCAAGTATATCCTGCAAGCACTATCATACAAACACGTCATGTTAGAACTCTTGAGATGTAGTGTGGATGCAAGGATCTTATCTTTTATCCAATCGATTTCCACTCAATTGCAGCATTTGTTGTTGACCGACTGCTACCTTTGGTGTGATTCCTTCACATTCATACGATACATGATCTCAATATGCCCAACAAGCTTAGTCTCTCTCTCAGTGGATCGAGGCAGACAACAATTCAGCATACCAGCGACCACCACCACATCCACCATTACTCCTACTACTACAACTACAACAACTACAACTATCACCACTATCACTAACAGTGCTATTGAAACACTACATCTCAGCGACGTGTACAGTTTGCCCGAACTCTTTGCTATCCTCGACCATTGCCCAAAGTTGACCCAGCTAAGCGTTGACACCACGCATCAATTCCATCCAGCCATATTGCCTTATTGTTCACGATTAACACATTTCCGATGGTGTATGGGAGCGCGACCATGGATTCATTCTTCTTCTTCAATGCAACAACAAGATGATGATGCGCCAAAGGAGAAATCATTGTATGGATTGGATATTGAAGCGAAGGATTTGGAATTATTCATGCAGCGATCATTTCAGCATTTACGTTTCCTGGGTCTTCACAGCGTACGCTATCTTGGGCAACGTGCCATGTTATTGAGGATATTGGAGCAAGCACAACCAACACTGAATCATGCCTACCTTGGTCTCAATCCATCAACGGCAGAGGGTGGTGTTCTTAATGCCCTCCATCGTTTACATTGCCTACAATCATTGCACATGACATTGGAGTTGAATGAACCATGGCACGATCGTATCTTGCCCTTGCTGCATGGTATCCAGGACATTGCCCATGCTTCTTCGCACACGATGGAGTCAATTGCATTGGATGTACCGTTTCCTATTCTCAAGGATCTAGACGACAAGGCAGATGTACTCGTATCCATGGGATTGATTCCTTTCCTCAAAAAAGTGCGTATGGATGTATCCAATGTGCAAGAGACAAGTTTACTCGCATTCCTTGAACGTGCCGACGAGTTGCGTGATTTAACGATTGAATCAGTCAAGCCGATCTTTTCATATCGCTTATTATCAGCCATTGCGTCCGCCATGCCTCATTTACGTCATTTCAAAATATCGTATTGTCCACAAATTGAAGCGGCTGGGATTCGACGGTTAGCAGACCATCATCATCACCACAACCAACAAGGCTTATCATTGACATTTGTATGCTGCCAATTTGACGATAACGGTGCATGTGTCCAATACGCCAAGGAGAAGCTAGGAAAAGCAAACGTGATTTACACGCTGGATGAGGATGATGATTACGTATTCGGTGCCTATCCGAACATTCAGCCCCCTGATCCATAGTAGTCTAAGGATGATCACCTTTAAAAATAAATTGTCTTCGAATGTACATTTGGTCCCCACAAGTGGATTTCAGTATGGGCTCTACTTTGTGCTTTTGGGTAGCTGTAGCTGATTCTAAACATGAACACGTCTCTATGTCACCATATCGTTGATCAATTGTAAACTTAAGGGCAACATCATCCAAAAAGTAGATTTCATTCATGCCGACAACAATGACGTCGTAGCACAATTTCTGCAACACAACGCACAGACCTTTGAATATGCACGCTTGGGCCTTCACGTTCTCGTGCAACGTATCCTCTTTTTCAATAGTGACAGTGAAGGGTTACAATAAAACAAATGTGCCAATGTTATACGTGTCGAAACTCTTTTTATTTACATTTTTAAATGAGAGAGAGGAAAAAAGGGTTTAAGCAATAAGCGGATTTTTTTGTCACGTAAATCATGTTTGAAAGATTACTACACTCTTTACCATCCAAAACCACCAGGCTTTGCAGGAGGAGCACCCCATCCATCACCAGCAGGTTGAGCAGGAGCAGCACCCCATCCATCATCAGCAGCAGCAGGTGCAGGTTGAGCAGGTTGAGCAGGTTGAGCAGGTTGAGCAGGTTGAGCAGGTGCAGGAGGTTGTTGTTGTTGTGGAGGTGGTGTAGCAGCAGCTGGTGGCGTTTGTGCAGCAGGAGCTGGAGATCCCCATCCATTGTTTACAGGTGGTTGTTGAGGAGTAGGTGCAGCTGGTTCACCCCATCCACCACTAGCAGGTTGTTGAGCAGCTGGTTGCTTAGGAGCAGGTTCACCCCATCCACCATTAGCAGTAGCAGGTTGTTGAGCAGGCGATTGTTGTTGTTGTTGTTGAGGTTCACCCCATCCACCAGCAGCTTGAGGAGCAGGTGAGGGTTGCTTTTGAGGTTCACCCCATCCACCAGCAGCAGTAGCAGCAGGTGCAGCAGGTTGTTGAGCAGCTGGTTCACCCCATCCACCACTAGCAGCAGGAGATGATTGTTGTTGTTGTGGTTCACCCCATCCACCAGCAGCAGCAGCAGGTGCAGCAGGTTGTTGTTGAGCAGCAGGTGTAGGTTCACCCCATCCACCACTAGCAGCAGGTGTAGCTTGAGCAGGAGCAGCAGGTGCAGGCTCACCCCATCCACCAGCAGCAGGTTGAGCAGGAGATGATTGTTGTTGTTGTTGAGGTTCACCCCATCCACCAGCAGCAGCAGCAGGTGCTTCTTGAGGAGCAGCAGCAGGTTCACCCCATCCACCACCAGTAGCTGGTGCAACATTGTTACCAGAATCCCATCCAGCAGAAGCAGCGTTGGCATCCCAACCGCCACCAGTAGCACCATTGTTACCAGAATCCCATCCAGCAGAAGCAGCGTTGGCATCCCATCCAGCACCGGTACCAGCATCAGCAGTAGAGGCACCATAATCACCAGAGGCACCATAGCCATAATCATCACCGCCACCTTCACGTTGAGCACCACACTTGAAGCATTCGGTACGACGAGCATAGTTGACAACGCCACAACTATATAAATACATTGATAAGTATCCACCAATGGTCATGTTGTATAATAAGATTGATACTTACGTGCAATCCCAATCGCCATCACGACGTTCACGGCTACCACCACCACTGCTTGGGTTGGGGTTAGGAGTGTTACACTTGAAGCATTCAGTGCGACGAGCATAGTTGTTGATGCCACAGCTATATAAACGTGTTAATTTCATATACCAATTATTCACAATGGATCCACAATAATTACCTTGGGCAGTTCCAGTCACCCTCACGAGCAGGAGCACCACCAGCACTATCACCATAGCCATCACCACCAGCTGGAGCACCAGGAGGAGCACCGAAACCAGGACGTTCCATAGGAACATATTCTTGACCAGCATAGCTTGGTGCAGGGACATCTTCTTCAGGAAGATCTTCTTCCCAAGTACTAAACACATGATCATGTGAGTCTCTTTTGAATCATCCCTTTTTTTTTGCCTCATTCAAAGATATGTACATGTCTTCAGGAATATACATTTGCAAGAATTCGGGGATCTCTTGCTTGCATTCCTTCAAAAGCTTAGCAAGTTCAGGAGCCAAGTGGGAGGTGCGCTCGTTGTAGAACGAGGTGGCAAGACCAGAGCGACCGACACGAGCAGTTCTAAAAAGGTGCGTGTGTGTTGGTAAAACGATAGCATTCCATTTGTACTCTTTTACTTTACCTGCCAATACGATGAATGTATTCATCCATGCTCTCGGGCATATCGTAGTTGATAACGTGCATGACATTGCGAATATCAATACCACGGGCAGCAACAGCAGTAGCAACGAGAATAGGGCAACGACCATGCTTGAAAGCAATCAAAGCATCTTCTCTTTCCATTTGGGTACGGTCACCATGAATGGAAGTGGATGGGAAACCACGCTCATACAAGTATTGATCCAAACTATAGTGTGTGTGTTAATTTCAATGACCCACATTGGCAATGGCCATGATAATAAGAATACTTGCCTGTCAGCACTACGCTTGGTTTCAACAAAGATAAGGGTTCTGCTAGGAGGTTGGGAGTTCAAAAGGGTACGAAGTTCTTCACGCTTGTTCTCTTCTTCCACGTAGAGCATCTAAAAAAGTAATTCCGATACACACACACACACATGAGTACGCCCCTTTTTGTATCACCCTTGTAATCGCCCATTTACCTTTTGAGTGATGGAAGAAGTGGTACCACCCACACGGCCAACCTTCAAGAAAAGATAATCGGGCTGCAAGAAATCACGAGCCAACTTGCGGATAGCACGAGGGAAAGTGGCACTGTACATGAGAGTTTGGCGCTCAGGGTTGAGACCTCTCTTTTCAACAATGGCACGAATGACAGCTTCGAAACCCATATCCAACATGCGATCAGCTTCATCAAGAACGAGGTAACGAACACGCTTGAGAGAAATCTTGCCACGCTCAATGAAATCCATCAAACGACCAGGAGAAGCAGCCAAAATGTCACAACCTCTCTCAAGTTGACGAATTTGAGAAAGAGTATCGGCACCACCATAAACGGCACTAATGGTAACATAGTAAAAAACATGAGCATACCATTCTTGACACGTACTTGATCACACACTTACCAAGGTCTCAACATGCTTCTGTAAGTGAACTAGTAACGAAACGAATAAAATGAGTATCAGTGGATGGGGAATTGTTGTTGTATTTACCTTTCTGCATTCATCGAAAATTTGAGAACACAATTCACGAGTAGGGGCAATGATGACAACCAAAGGTTCAGCCTTGAAGCTGCGGTATTCGAAAGGAGCAGGGCGAGGTTGAGCAAGTTCCTTGGCACGACCAAAGAGACCAGAAAGGGTGGGAATAAGGAAAGCAGCCGTTTTACCAGAACCTAGTAGCAAGGTGATTAATACACCATATCAATATCCCAATTGTTGAACTCACCAGTTTGAGCACAAGCCATCAAATCCTTTCCATTGGTGACGATAGGAATAGACATGGTCTAATGATAATCATCATCATGATCAATCAATCAATTCCGTTACTGCAATTGGAGTGGGAAACTTACTTGCACAGGGGTAGGTTGAGTATAGCGAGCGAGACGAATGTTTTCCTTCATGACAGGATGCAAATTGGCAGAGTCAAACTATACATGGAGATATGAGTCAACATCTGTATAGGCATACTTGATTGACAACAACAACAACTTACGTCCTTGACAGGAGCAGGAGCTTCACCACGTTCAATGTTGATAGGAATGTTGGCGTACTTTGAGAAATCCAAAGGAGTGTGTTGTTCAGTAGGATCAAAGCCGAAAAGTTCAGCTTCCAATTTTTCATCACGTGGAGCCATGCCATCTTCACCAACAGCATTTTCATTAAACTCATAACGAGCACGGTTGGAAGCCCAATTGTAAGCACGTTCAGGACGATCTTCTGGTGGAGGAAGACCCATGCCTTCGGGACGAGCAGCTCCGCACTTGAAGCATTCGGTACGGGTACCAAAGTTGCTGATGTTACACCTACAAACACGCGTGAACAACGCGTCAGTCAAATCTTGTTTTTGCTTTTCCACAAACAAAAGGAGGAGAGGTAGAGGTATACATACGAAGGACAATCCCAATCTCCAGGACGAGGTTCACGCTTAGGAGGACCCATACCTTCAGGACGGGGTTCATTGCATTTGAAACATTCTTGACGACTGGCAAAGTTGTTCACACCACAGCTATAGATGAATGTGTTAATAACATGATAAAATATGTGTATATAGTTTTTACCTTGGGCAATCCCAATCACCAGGACGAGGTTCACGTTTGGGTGGGCCCATACCTTCTGGACGAGGAGCACTGCACTTGAAGCAAGCATCACGACTGGCAAAGTTGTTCACACCACAGCTACACGAGAAAAGGGAAAAGAACACGCGCGTGTGTGTAAGACTTTAAACTTTTTCCGAACAAAAGGGAGGGAGAGAGAGAGAGAGATGAAACACATTCATGATGTCAAATCACAAACGTCATCAATCAATCAAAATCCTTTGATAACACTTACTCTGGGCAATCCCAATCACCAGGGCGTGGAGTACGTGCAGGCTTGCTGTCATAGTCGCCACTATCGCCATAGTCGCCGCCATTGCCATAATCACCAGCACCATAGTCATTGGAAGCACCATAGTCATTGGAAGAAGCAGCGAAATCACCACCACCAAAGTTGCCGGATGCAAATGGGTTGTCTTGACCACCAGCAGAGGCATCACCAGAGCCACCCCAGGGCGTGCTGCCGCCACCATCCCATGGAGTGCTGTTACCGCCATCCCATTGGCCGCCACCACTGCCACCACCGGCGCCCCAGCTATCGCCACCGTTTGCGTTATTGCCTGAATCCCACGACATGATTGACTCTTTTCTCGAATGCGAAAGGAGGAGGAGGAGAAGAAGAAAAAGTGAGAAACAAGGAAAAGAGTATGGTTGATTGATTGACACGAACCCGCTGAAATTTTGATTGGCAACACAGTGACTTATCCTCCCACACTTGCCGTGCAGCGTCGTACTGATTTGACAGGTTCGACATGCCTATCATCACCATTACTACTACTACTGCTAGCTCGCATGGATTGGCGTTTATTATTGTAATGCACATGTTCTATACAATGAAATCTATTAAAAAAAAAGTTGATGCAGGGATTAAGAAGAAAAAGGAGCATGCACGCGTATGTACATGTTTGAAAATGGAGGGAGAGGTGAGGAATTAAAAAAGTACATACATGATCATTATCTACTACTACTACGTGTTGGAAACGGGATTTTCTGCAATGACACCCATATCATGAGCACGACGCTTAAGGTAGGTATACATCTTGTATTGGAGGTCATTGAGCGGAGAATCTTGTTGATCATTCGACAAACCAGAGCACGACAAGTCTGACAAGTAGGATTGCACACCAACTATTAAATGAAGCAGGGCATCTTGTTGATAATCATAGGCGCTTTGTTGTTCTCCTTGATGCTGTGCTTCTTGCTCCTCAAAGTTATCATACATCTCATCATCATCACCTCCTCCATGATTGAGTATTTGGTCGTAGAATGCATATGGATCATCATCTTCTCCGTAGTAGTAGTCATCCATATTGTTGTTGGCAACATTGGGATCCATAAAATAGATGCCGCCGCTATGGTCTTCCTCATTCAATTGCTGTTGATCATTCTCGTAATAGGTTGTGGTTTCTTTCAAGGGGGACGACGACATTAAAAGTAAGAGGTAAAGATGCTGGTAGAAAATGGTGGATAAAGAACCAAGAAATGACACCCTTTTAAAATGGATGATGATGGCATGTTGTGACACCACTCATCATCCATCACGTTGTGCCCCCAAAGCAGCATAAAGACGTTATCCGATTTGTTCCTTCTCCACATCACTCCTCGTGCTGGTTGCTCCGACTCAGCAAGTGATCCTTTTACCACTTACTTACGCACGGGTTGCCCTGCTTTTGCTTCATGGAGTAGTAGAGGTGCACCTTATTTAGCACTCCTCAATGGTGAAGTAGTAGATAGGATCATGATGTTTTAGAAACCTAATAGTAATAGCAGTAATAGGATGATCATAGATTGCAGTATAGCAGCAGCAGTGGATGTTATATGATCACATCCTCCGACTCTACGTGTGCATCTACAATATGAAAGGGGTGCATGATGAGCGGTGTTCTTGCAATGATATAAGGTCATAAAACAAGATGTGCAGTTGACTACCCAACACGATTTTCCATTACAGTTGGTGATTAAGAAATCGCTCATAACACTATCAAATTTCGGGGCCCTTAAGGCAAACATGATCGTGGATGCAAAAGTTGGTGATTCTGCTTCCTAAACATCAGCTGAACACTTCGCCAACATTATACATATCTTTACGTATGAAGGAGTTAATTGGCCAAGGTGCATGCATGTCATTGTGAATGAACTTGCTTAGAGAATTGAACAATGAATGTAAATCCAATAATGAGTGCTGTAACTCCTTCTTTTGCCCCATTGATCTAAGCAATTCGAGGTATTCTTAGGATCTAGATCATTGTCGAGTATGAGAGCATAAGAAACAAAGAATGGATCCCTAACCACAGGCTCTCAATGGCTGTTACAGAAATCCATGCTTCTATTTTCTACCAACAAGGCCAATACCTGCATATTCCAGTACTACTCAAATTGATCCATGACTGAAAGTTGGTTTGCATGTGTGTGGATAATGAAACGTATCATTGTATTCAAGTATAAGGATACACTATGTCTAAATAGCTACTACTACTACATGTCAAAAGACGTGGATGGTGTACTAAATCAGGAAACAAGCTCATGATACAAGAAGGGTTGCATGTCTGTGACAGTCACTTGGTTACTACTACTCGCGTCGATCCCAGCAAAAGCAAGCTTTCCCACCTTTTTTATACACATAACCTATATCATGGAAGACGACGAGCTCCAAGCTATTCGCGCTAGACGTATGGCCGAGTTGCAAGCCCAAAGTGGTAAATCTTCGGTAGGTATTCAACATTGTGGTGTGTGTAAGTATATGTATTCATTGTGTTTGTAGGGTGCTGGTGCTGGTTTGCCAGGATCGCCTAGCATGGGCGGCAGCGGTGGCAATGGTTCCCAGGACGACCAAGCCAAAAAAGAGTAAGTCGATAGTCGAATCAGGGTAGCAGAGCTCCTTTGTGAATGCTGACTCTCATCGCTTGCTGTAGGCAAATGGAAGAAATGCGTCGCACTATGGTATGGGATGGGATGGGATGACGAGTAGTAACGGTGGATAAACAAAAGAAGACTGACCCCTTTTTGATCAAAGCTTTATCAAATCTTGGACAACAGTGCTCGTGAAAGATGTGAGTGATGCATGCATTATATGGAAGAAAAAGACTGACAAATGGCATATTCAGTGGCGCGTATTCATATGGTCAAGGCTGACAAGGCTCGTGCTGTGGAGGATTTGTTGCTTCGACTAGCTCAATCAAATCAATTGCGTAACAAGGTGTCCGAACAACAGTTGATCGATCTTCTTGGCCAAATCAATCAACAAGAACCAAGTGCATCACAAACACGCATTGTGGTACGTTGCAATATGACAACCCCAAAACTCTTTTTTCGTGTCAATTGAAATGCTAAAATGTGGGGCGTTTCTAGTACAATCGTCGTCGCTTTGATGATGACTCTGACGATGAATACGATCTCTAATGGCGAGAAGAAGAAGACGAGGAGAAAGAGAGATAAATCACACACAACACATCCACATCCACACCCAAACAACAAAGCATCAACATGGCTTTCATATCCAACACTCGATTTCTCATCACTCTTTGTCCCACCTTCTCGGATTACTTTTTGACGTCAGGCTTTGATGGGCTTTTTTATTATCCGAACATGTATTACAGACATTGGAAAACGAAAAGGAAACAGGGAGAGAGGGAAGAAGAGGGAACTATGTACATCGCTGGGTTGGTTGGTTGGTCGGTGTTGGTGCTGCTGTGCATTGACCAGAGAGCGGGATTGCAACAACGTCGATATGCTTTACATTTGTCAGGTACAACAGCACGTTGCTGAGATGAACAAGCAAAAGATATGAGCGTGTGCTTTTCACAGAGAGCGGAAATAGGGTTAAGATTACTCAACATGTGCAAGTGTGGTATCTAGTAGTAGTAGAGCCGTATTCATGGGCACCCATCAATACAAAAAGACATCACCTCCATTGCCTTTTTTTGACACTACCTTTGCGTCTAAAATAAAATCTTTTTTCAACATGTATGATATAATGTGGGCATGTGGTTAAAGGTCACCCAGCCTCTGGGGAACCCTCATTGAGGTCGTACATTAACGTGCTCCGACCTACGCTTTTTTTCACAAGATTGCAAAACTTTCAAGCATCTATCACTTTCAACACGTGCAAATAGATAAATTAGTTGACGATGTTACTATAGGATGGGGTACTAATAAGAAGAAGAAGGGGCCGTTTGTAAAAACGTCATTTATCAATGAAAAAGAGGGACCAGCAGTGAGTGATAAGAGAGGTGATCAGCTGAACACTAGGATTGATAGGCAACTATACCGAGTTGTTGTCGATTGACCTTATTCGACAGGGTCCTTTTTGGCAGATGAGGAGTTGGAGGGAGGAGGAGGAGAAAAAACAGCTTAACTGTAATTCGTACAACAATACTTTGCTCAACATAGCAAAGGTTTTCAGCGGAATTGTACATACAATGGTGTTGTATGTGTAAGTATGCGGCGGCATTTGGGATTTTTATTTTGTTTATTCTCTCTCATCTTGGCCAACTTGTTAAAATGCTTTGATAAAAGGAGCATCTAAGCGCACACACACACACACACATACACGTGTATAGCTGATCCCGTGTACAATGTCAACTATACAGCGTGACCGATGATTTGGACAGGTTTTTCTGTGTGGGATCAGGGTAACTCGGATCTGTTGCCGGGCTGTGCGCGCTGGCCACATTGTACTCCAAGGATTGGGATGATGTATAACTCAACCTGACGAAAAAGTCACGCATGATGAAATGGCCGATCTTTTATTAACCAAAAGGAACACACTTGTGGAGTTCCTTCCCCCTGTGTTTGTTTGTTATGTATACATACATAATCCTGTAAGCATCCCGAATCGTTTGGTTTTGCGTGTGTGTGTATTAGGATTGCATGATAACAAGGTCCAAGTCCGCCGCTATCGACTTTTGGATGGATCCACAGCGGCACATGGGCTGGTTGGGGTCCAAAAACAGCGCACCCAAATTGATGTGGTTATTGAGGATCACATGCCAAAAATTCATAAAAACTCATCAACGCTTTGACTCAGACGAGGTTTTCCTTTTCCTTTCTCATTCTCTCTTTATTCCATCCTCCACCACCACCACCACCCCTTTATCATCATGATATTCTCCAGATCAAGCAATAGCAAACGAAAATCTCACACACCTTCATCAACATCTACCCCATTGTTGTCGCGTCTTAATGTATCTACACCCGCCGTTTATTATACCAATCAAAACAACAGCAGTGCCAGCAATGTGTCTCCACGTGCCACTGACATGAATCCATCTCTATCCTACGGCGGTGGTGGTAGCCCTATTCCTACACCTAGCACATCATGGACATCCGAAATGAGCGTATTAGCCGATAAGATTCGAGATGACACGGTGCATACTGTTGACAGTCTTGATCGTCGAAGCATCTCACAAGGCATGAAATTGGTGGCCATTGCAGCTGACGAATACGAGGATGGCAATAATACGGTGGCACTTGACATTTACCTCTCTGGCATTGATAAAATCCTGATGGCTCTTCCAAGTAGGTTGGCACTAGTAACTCTTTTTCCTTCCCCAAAAAAGAAAGCCGCCCCATCCATAATCTCATGCATTATTTGTTTCTTTCCCCCATAGATAAAACGGATCCAAAGACCAAGGTGGCATTACGAGAAAAGTTGACAAGGTGAGTAACCTATGAAAAGGAGGAGGAGGAAGCAAACAAGCATTGACCACTCTTTATATAGTGTGGAAGAACGTGTTGGTATTTTGCACATTGCGAGTCAACACCGGCAAAAGCGTTATCAAGAAGAATGGGATGATCCAGAAGTAAAGCGGTCGTTGTTAGAATCCATTGGTCTATCTCGAATCACTACCACTATTAGCACCATTACAACGATTGCTTCGAATCGTGCTTATCCACCAGCATCCAACACCCCTTCATCTGTCATGCAACATCAAGCAAGTGCGGTCGCTGTTTCTTCTTCACCATCATCATCACCACCTTCAAGATACGATCCCGTGGATCGTTTCAAGCAATTTGGTCAGACCATTATCAATGCTACCGTGACCCTTGCTATTTTGATCAAGCAATCGCCTCTTCCAGGTACCCCAAATCCTGTTTTTGTTTACATTGCCTGCTGACCAACCGGATTCTTTATATAGATGTGGTCTACTTTTTGTTTGGATACCTATGCCAGATGTTGATTTGGGTTGACCACCAATATCACATCACGCAAAAGGCACAAGACTTGGGTGTTGAATGTGTAAAGTGGATGCTCAAGATGGATGAACAATATCGACTACACGAATTTGCTTCCGAAGCCATGTACATGTTGATTGCTGCAGGACTGAAAGCCGCCGTTGCATACAAGGAAGCCCCTGCTTTTCGACAAAACACATCCCATATTCATGAAATCACTGATGATGATCAAGATGAACATTACAGCCATGAAGCAATTGAACCTTGTCCTCCACCTAAACGTCCTTCTCGGTGGGTCATTTGGTAAACAACAACCTCCACCAACATCATCACACCTTTCTTTCATACATCACCGTCGTCGTCCTTATTCTCCTCCTCCCATCTTTGCTTCTTATTTGCTTCTTCTTTTTACTTTGACTCCCTTTGTATACAAAATTTCTTTTTTTTCCTTTGCTGCATTTTCATAGTAATACCCACTACCTATAGTCATGGTCGAAAACTTGCTCTTTATTCATTCTTCTTCTATACACACACACACACACAAACACAAAGAAAAGACCAAGATCCAATCATGCTTTTTCTTCATTGCATGTAACACAATGTGGTGCTGTTTAAACCCGAAATGGGTAGTAGTAGTAGGAGGCCCTGTTCATTGAGTGGTGTAAAAAGCGGTTGTTGATAAGATAGATTGCATATCGGCTGCATCGGGTATACGTTTTTGTGGTCAAACGACGTCAGCTTAGATGTATCAGGTGGTCACACACCGGAGCACCACATGCACCAGCTGTCATCGCACATCATCGGATGTACATGTTGTGCCTTGATTTCTGTAATGCCACAAGCCATGTCATTAAGAGTCATCTTTTACAATGATTTGGATTGAAGATATGGCTATGTACATACATAATAGCAAGGGGAGCTTTGATGATTGATTGTGTGGTTCATTTCTTTGTTTAAAATAAGAGTAGACAGATCCAATGTATGTACAATCATGAGGGTCATTGTATACTAATCTTGCTATTCGGCACAAGGATGATCCAATCACCTGTGGAGAGGAGTGTGTAAGCAAGAATTCCATTGACATGCCATCATCACCCATTGTCTTGTGTCACCGCCTCACGTGCATTTGATCTTCCACTTCACTCACACACACATTCAGCTTGACCACAGCTTGCTTACACTCTTCAACATGGACGACAATGCGACACACGATCCCAGTCGGCTACTCTCCACTCGATCCCTGCCGTCTGAAATCCTACTCAAAATCTTTGGCATGCTGACACAAGGCGATTGCTTAAGGTGCATGTCAGTATGTCGTACTTGGTACAAGGCCATTCCACAGTACACACACCAATGCTTTCGCAGCGTCATGCTCAAAGGCAATCGTGGTCATGCCGACAATACACGACTACAGAAATGCCTTGGATCACATGTCAAAAGTGCTGTATTGGATTCGTGTGACACTCAGGCACAACTCGAGGCACTGCTCACCTTGCTCGAACGGTATCAATGCTACGATATTCGCCGACTCTGTAAGTTTTCATGGGCATTGAAAAAGAATGACGTTTCTCATTATGAGCATGCTGCTTTCAAGGTATAAGACGATGCCCTGTGCGTGATGGGAATACATTGATACAGCATTTAAAACACCTTGAACGATTGGAACGGATCTCATTTCACAATACTCGGTTCGATGTTGCGATATTGTCATTTCTCAGCTCATTGATATCGACATGCCGTTCTTTGACGCATTTAACATGCAACACAACATTCGCCATGGAAGGGGTCTCTTTGCCATCCGAAAGTATGCTGATACACGACTCAGAAATTAATCACAACATGCGCTTCCTTCGACTTGGATTACACACCCCAACATTGTCACAGGCCTTGGTATTGCTTGTACGATGTCCCCAACTAAGATATTTCAGCACCTGTTGCGCGAATGATGTCGATGCTCGATCGATCCTGTTGTTGTGTCCCAAACTCGCGTTCTTCGAATGTCAAATGTTGGCAAAACGTTATCGGCAATGGCTTGATCACAATGACGAAGAATCACTATCAGTACAGCCTTTGCAAGATCGACAACAACAACAACAACAATCATCATCATCAACATCGCTTAGAGAATTGACATTGGAACCTATCAGCTTTGAACAACAAGTGCTCGACTTGCATCATCCATGTTTACAACGACTCGAAGTGGGCGTTACCAATGGCGACGAAGCGATCATCAGAGCGTTGCTACGCAATACACCGATGGTGGAGGAATTACGTTTATGTTTCTATGACGTGGTGGATTATATTCCTGCTATGATACGGCCTTTATCCAACCTACGCAATCTCCAATTATGGCTTCTTCGCACGAGAGAAAATCAGGAAGACCTCATCCAACTCTTTGAAGGCTTTCATCATCATCTTCCACCCCATCTCTCCGTGGGCATCAAATGCAACCTCTATCAGCATGCTTCTCCACATACCTTGAGAAACATACTGTTGTCGATGGCTGGGATCCGACAACTCAAGTACATCAACCTCCATTCACTCCAGAATATTGACGACAACCATCTCATCTCTTTCTTTGAACATGTATCACAACATCAAATCGAAACAGTGACATTGGCATTTCCCACCATGTCATTTTCATTGCTTTACCTTATTACTCATCGTTTGCCCCATCTCATACAATTCGAAATTGCCTATTGCGGTGGCATCAGTCGTCGTGGCCTACGCACGTTGGTGGACACCAAAGCAAGAACATCGCCAGGGAAATTGACATTGAAAATCCGCCTCTCGTATATGGATGATGGTGCCAAGGCAAATGATATCAATGTATGCATAGGAAAGGATCCCTTCCCCGTAATACAATAAAAGTACTTTTATTATAAAGCTCAATTGCATAAACTCTCCACAAGTTTCTCTTCTTTGTGCTTAAAACGATACGTGAAAGATGACAAGGATTGGAGGCAGCCGCCTACAGTATTTCAGCTCCCGATTCATGCATGAGCGATCATTACAGTTTTGCTAATATTTAAAACAGCTGCCTTTATTTCTCAATCAAGCATGATAAAAGAAAAGCGTTCACCCAATTGGCTTTGTGCGTATTTGATGTATCCTTTGTCATCCTCTACCTTTTTACATGTAATGGAGAGCGAAAATGACGGATTGGATTTCTTCTTTTCGATCAGAGCCTTGATGCCAGCACCACTGATTGGTTCAGTATTGTAATAACTTGCCATGGTGAGGATACGAAGGTGGGGTAAGTTGCCAAGTAGTGTGAATGTCTCCAATGAGAGGATGGGTCCATGATCCATGCTAAGGTGTTCCAACTGGGGTGGTGCATGCATCAAGTACGTCTTTAAGGTTTCCTCCTCCACACATGCTGGGCTTATTTCAACATGCTTCAAGGTGGTTACGTGTGCCATGGCTTCCAGGACTTTTGTTAGTGAGTGGGCAATGGGTAAATTGATCTCCAATGTTTCCAAGCGAATGGTGTTAGCATGATTCACAAAGTAGTCCACAAGGCCATCCGCTGTATCAGGATCCAAGATGCTGAGAGTGAGTCGTGAAAGGTGAGCAGACAACTTTGGTAATAGTTGACGAGGGATCTCAATCGATTCAAGTGGATCAAACATGATTTCCTCGACATGTCGACATGTATCAAGAAAATGCATGGTTTCAGGCTCATAGTCGTAACTCATATCCACCAATTTCAATGTTTGTATCCGGTGATGGCGAGGCATGCATGAAAGAGCCGTGTCGGTTGTCGCCAAATAATGCAGTCCTTCGTGATGCGTCTTTTCCTTGTTGGACAAAGGTGGCCAAAGGATAAAGTCTTCTGTGCGTGGATTCCATTCCAAATACTGTAGTCGTGGACATAGCTCAAAGATAAAAGGCTCTGGGTCGCTGTATGTGGTGATGCTGACACGCGTTAAATTGGGGCATAAGCTCAAAACAGAGGCAAGTCGTGCATTATCCACCTCGTCATCAAATCGTAGCCGAAGAAAAGACATGTTGGTATTAGGATTTGATGTTGTTGTAGTTGTTGCTGGTAGCATGGCAACGTCGTCGTCGTCATGGTCGACGAAAAAGGTGGCTGGTGTAGGAATGATCCATAGGCATTCAAGGAGAGGGCATTGTATCATGCATTGTGTCATCAAGTTGTATACATCGTATCCATTATCAACATACTCCAGTCGCAAGTCGGTGATGCCAGGGAACATGGGCAATCGTTTTGTCACCATGGCAATGTGTCTCCGACTCAGCCATACTCCACCCGTGAAATCTGCATAATAATAGTAGTAGGCGTTGTGAGCAAAACCATTGCTTTGACGCCACCCTCCTTATCACCACGCACTTTGATGAATCGCATGTATACTTGCCCAATCTCTGGATATTACTACATTGCTTCGCATGAAGCATATCAAGGACTCGATCAAGGCGATGGCACTTTTTAAACGACACCGCATCCACATGAGGACCAAGGAACTTGTGCATGTTGCTTTTGCTGCTGCCATCAAGATGCTGCTCATCCAGTTGTATCTCACGGAACACCGTTTCTCTTGCATACATGGGTATCAAAGTACTCCATTCTCGACACACTTCCAGGCACCGTAGACAGTCTTGTTGGGTGAGAAATGAGAGTATGGTAATCACGACATCGTAAGGAAGCGATTGTAGCAGGTCGACGCGGCATGAAAATGGTAGAGATGAAAGCTCTGTAGTCATTGGGGTGGCCAACAAGTGAGGTGGGGGTTAGTTCTAGTGTAGTGTAAAGGAGGTAATCGGAAATACATGAATCATTTTGAGAAATTCCATTGGCATGACTCACGTGGATTTGACCTGTGCTCATCCTATTGGGTGGTGGTGGTGGTGGTGGTGGTCCATCAGCATTATGCGATACTTGATAAAAGAGAATTGGATATCCATTAAACTACATGCCATCATGAAAGAATGATATCCCTTGCTGATGGGATGGTTACATCTTTTTACAAATAGAGAAGCCCATGATCTTTTGCAATGAGCAGGATCATCATCATGTGTGTGCATTCAAAAGAATCCTCGTGCCTGATTGATAAACGTGTAAGGAAAAAGGCACGTGATGGGTTTTTAGCATTGAAGCGGAATCGTGCTGGTGTAACGACCCAACCCCAGTTCACATGTTTTCACTTTTCATGCATGATAAGCAAGATGAGGAAGGAGTATAAGGATATGTTTTTATTGCTACTACAAGCAAGAATTGTATTCATATGCTATAGTGGATCAAGGGTGGCCAATGACTACTTGTGGATGTAAAAGTGATGATGCTCTCATTTCCCGATCTGTATCACTATCAAGGTGGAGATTAATTGATGCAGCTCCTTATTACACGTTACACTATTGCTTGTTGTCAAGAAGGATGATGATGATGCTGATGATGATGGGGTTTATTATGCAATGAGATCTGGAAATTGTACGCTCAACCAGTCCAGCTGTTGAACAAGAGTAATATGACGTTGTTGATGCCATTCGTGTGCTTCAAATGCGTCTTCGATCCTCCTGATAGATGATGATGATGATGATGATGATCAGTCATGGGGTTCATCCCAAGTATGGTATGTACTATGACTTACTGCTTGATTTGTGGTGACAAGTCATGATTCTGTATCCGAATGGCACATTGAGAATCGGGATAATCAACAGGAATAACGAGGTCAAGATGTAGTATGGTAGGATCTATCCGCGTATCTTGTAGAGGAAGACTAACGCTGATCATCGAAAAAGAGTCTTCAGGACCACTAGGCCATGCTCTTTAACATCATCATCTTCTTCATCCTCATCCTCTCTTCCTCCAAGTATATCGATTGTGTCGTTTTTACCTTGATGGGTCCTTATATGGCTTATATTTCTTCTCCAGCTGATCCAACTCCAAGTCTCGGATGGCACGTTGTATTGAGTGAGAGTCGCTGTTGTTGTTTTGGGATATCGATTGATGGGTTGGGGATGAAGCAATGGGTATCGTGGTGTCATCCAACGCGTTGTCACCGATAATCACGGCATGGGCATTGGCGGATGGCACACCGTGAATGGGTAAAATGTGAGCAAAGAGACACTCGTCGCCAGCACGACAGTTGCCCTGAGCGAAGAAGCGACAAGCTGTTGGGAACCGTTTTGTGGAATGGGCGGTTGAATACATATGCAGTAAAATGGAAAAGGGTGAAAAACACACACAGTCGCCGTCGGTCACACGGGAATTGTTTCGATCAAAAGTGGTGCCTGTGTTCACTCTAATCGCTGATGGGATGTGGTACAGACATTTCTTAATCCCAGCGCAAATATCCGTTTAGGTGGTGATACATTAACACTCTCGGTGTCTTTCTCTCTCTCTCTCTCTCTCTCTTTCACTCTCTTTTCTTTCTCCTTCCTTTTATTCTGGCATCTCGGCCCTGATTGGACTTTTGTCTCATTCCTTTTTGTCATTTCACTGATGGACAACGACCCCATACAGTTGGAGCATCAAACAGCTCCAGAGAGCACTCGTGGTCTTTTTGACCCTCCCGAAACAAAGGTAAAAGGAGGAGGGGGAGGTGTTTATATAAGATAAGTAGTAGTAACTCTATATTGATTAACTTGCGGATCGATCATGGATTAGCAGCCCCCGCTCAACTCTGCTCCTACATTTGATAAACGCCGCTCTCTTCAATCCTATTCTCCTCTCATTGATACAACCAATCGATCATCATCATCATCACCATCACCATCATCCTTTTCTCGTGGTCATCAACGTTCTCGTTCAGCTGTCATGCTTGGAAACTTTTCAGGTCGTCGTGGATCAGGTTTATTACAAACATTGACCGAAGAAGCAGCAGCAGCAGCTACAACTACTACTACTACTACCGAGGATGATAAGAAGGTCACTGTGGATTCACTTCAAGACATGATCAATACATTGAAATCATTACCACCTGTCACTATCAAGGAGGGTGGCGGACAACAACAACAACAACAACAAGTGATGCCATCTCCCAGTACAAGTGTGCCAACACCTCCTCAACGTATGCCACAACGACGTCGATCCACATTGAGTGGTGCCGATACCATGCAAAATATGGTCCAGAATACTGTCCAGGAACTTCGTAATATCGACAAGCATGGTGTTGCTATGGGGATGGCTGGTGGTATGGGTGGCATGGGTGCTCGTCGAAGGAGTCGCCGTGCTAGCAGTATGACAAGTACACTTGAAGCTTCGGTTGCTTTACGGGATGCTGCTTTGGCTGAAACAGAGGCCAAGTTGCTAGGCACCTTTGCAAAGATTGAGGAAGATGAACCCGATGCCGCCATGGTCCCACCTACTCCCATTCCTCGTCGCCATTCAGTCTCACGCCCCATCATGGAAGACCCTCCTATCATGCGTCCTCGTCGTCGTTATTCCGAATCCTCGAGTGGGTTTGATCTTTCTTCTCTACATAATGGTTCGGTTGGTGTTGGTGGTGGTCCCAAGCGTATGTCTCTTCAACAACTACCCACCTTGGCTGAAAATGGAGAAATGTCGTCGTTAAGGTCTGGAAGACGACTCACCTTCAACAAGCCCTTGACACTGGAAGATAGCAACAAGAGACTCTCCAATGGACCTAGTAGTGCAGGACATAGTCGTCGGTCTTCTCGTAATTTAGACTATGATTGGCGATCCAGTAAGTTGTGACAAGTGGATGTGTAAATGGATCATGGGCTTATGCAGTGTTGTTGTTATCATCTTTTTTCAGGCACCGGTCCCATCCTCGCACCTGCAAGTGCATTGCAATCTTTCAATCTGGTACCTTTTACGCCTACACGTGTGAGTTTTGCAAAGGATGATGCCAATCCACATCAACGTCGTCCATTGTTTATTGCCCATCTACCCTTCTCAGCACTGCCACCCCTATTCCGATCACGACAACTGGTGCGTGGCATGTTACGAGTCAACAAGCGCAACCGAAGTGATGCCTATGTCACATGTGAGGAGTTGGATGCCGATGTCTATATTTGTGGATCGCGTGATCGTAACCGTGCACTGGAAGGCGATGTGGTGGCTGTACGTCTTGTGGATGTCGATAAGGTGTTGCGAGAAAAGAGAGAAAAAGAGGACGCCAAAATTGCACGCAATGGCGGCAAAACACGTACACGTATGCCTGATGAGGAGGATGAAAATGAGATTATCTTTGGCGGTGATGATGATGTGGAAACTGTCAAACCAAAGTACTGTGGTGTGGTCGTTGCTGTGCTTGAGCGCGCTCAAAACCAAGTCTTTTCCGGGTAAGAAGTCGAATCTTGTTACTGTCACACACACACACACATGCAACTGATGCAAACATGTTTCATCCATTGGATAGCACTCTTACCCTCATGAGACCCAACAATAAGCGTGCACAAGAAGAAAAGGCTGCTGAACAAGCTCGTCTCGCTGAAGGTGAAATCCCACGCAAAGAAGCACCAAGAATCGTTTGGTTCAAGGCAACCGATAAACGTGTCCCCCTTATTGCCATCCCTATCGAACAAGTGCCAACCGATTTTATTGACAACAGTGAGCACTATGCAACTCGTTTATTTGTGGTGAGTGGATTTGTTGTTGTTGTTATCATCAAAGGTTCTCACACACAATGTATTAGGGCTCTATCAAACGCTGGCCAATTACTTCATTGCATCCATTTGGTTATTTGGAACGTGAATTAGGCCAAGTGTCTGAATTGGATGTGCAGGTGATGGCCATTCTTGCCGACAACAACGTGACAGATTCCGAATTTGGGGAAGCCGTCATGGCATGTCTACCATCCTTACCAGCTCAGCTCCCCGACACAAACGATCGTCGTGATTGCACCAACATGCGCTTATTTACCATTGATCCTGCAAACTCCTCAGGTAATACAAATTAATGTTGTCAATGCTACATTCATAGCTGTACTCAACATCACCTTTGTAGTGTTGGACGATGGCTTTTCTATTCGCAAGATGGGTGATGATACCTATGAAGTGGGTGTACACGTTAGCGACGTTTCGCATTATATTCAGCCTCATTCGGCATTGGACAAAGAGGCCCGTGCGCGTGGTGTACGAGTGGACCTTGTCAGTACACATGTACCTATGCTCCCTGAAACATTAACACACAAAGTAACAAACTTGGAACCCAATGAAACAAGGTACGTCCCAAAAATCATCGTCATGCTATTAGAACAACATCTCATATCCTCCTTGTAGATTGGGTATTTCGGTTATTTGGACAATGAATTCCCAAGGACAAATCTTTAATACATGGATCGGCAAATCTCTTATTCGGTAAGCGAATGTCATATCACATGCATCTATGTATGTATATTGATATCATAATATTTGGATAGCTCGAGTGCCAAATACACTTATGAGGAAGCCCAATCCATCTTGGAAAAGGAATCAACGTCTTCTGAGATTGAGCAAGATATCCGCAGTCTTTTATCCATTGGTGCCAAAATGCGTGCAACACGTCTTGATCAAGGTGGAGCCATGTCCTTGATGCGAGAAGAGCTTTCATTTGCATGCGAACAAGGATATCAAATCCCACCCACTGCTGTATCACCCAAGGCCATTTTGGCTGCTGAAAAATATGTGAAGGAAATTCAATTGCGAGCCAACATTACGGTTGCACAAAAGATTTCAAGCCATCTTCCTGAGCAAGCCATGTTGCGTCGTCATGCTCCTCCTCTTGATAGAAAGATTGTAAGTTGGTTGGCTCTTGATAACACGTTCACACAACAAGGGACTAACGGATGTTTAGCGTGAGCTTCAGCAATATGCAGGAGAGCATTTGAATGTAAAGTTGGATATTGCAAGTGCCAATGCCTTGGAGCGATCCGTACAAGCTATTGTCGATCCACAACTACGCAAACTCGTTACCAGCCTCGTTCTCAAAACATTCCAGCCGCCAAAATACTTTTGCATCGGCACATTTGATATCCTCAAATATTCCCATTATGCGCTCAGCGTGCCTTTGTTTACCCATTTTACTGCACCAAGCCGTCGTTACTCTGATATCATTGTTCATCGCCAATTGACGGCTGCTTTTGATGATGGTAGGTGTTATCATCGTTGCTATTGTATCCTTATTCACTCTCTTTTCTTTTTAGATAAGGAATTTTACCTTGACCTTGATACAGTACAAAAATTGGCTCAACATTGCAATGTCAAAAAGGAAGCTGCTCGGATAGCTCGTGATCAAAGCAACTTGTTATTCTTGGCTCGTCACCTTTGTGCCAAGCAACAGCCTCCTAGCAACTCGATTGCTATTTTCAGAGACGCTATTGTGGTGGCCGTCACCAACAGCTACTTTGATGTGATGGTGCCTGATTACAACTTGGAAAAGCGTGTGCACCTTGCTCACTTGCCTGTGTGGAACAGCAAATATGATGCCATGGTGGGCTTGACCATGTATTGGAAGAAGGGTGTTTCTACGCCCACAGGATGCAACAGCACCGCACAAGTTGATTTTGATGAAGAAGAAGAGGAGGATATGGATGAAGATGTCTTGGTGGAAGAAATGGAACAAGATCATGCATCATCATCGCCATCACAACAGGTTGTCATGGCACCCCTTACAACAAGACCTATCATGAATGGTGGTGGTGGTGGTGGTAATACATACCAGCAGCAACAGCAAACACCGGCTCGTCCACGTCGTGCCTCTGTTTTACGAGCCCGATTGTCAGATAGCACAGGATACAGTCATGAACAATCTTCTCAAACGCTCAAGCCATTGGATAGGATCAAGGTGGTGGTCATTGTTGAAATGAGTAAACCACCTCCAGTCGTTCGTGTATTGGCTGCAAACCCATTTGCATGATGATCATGTTCTAGTTGTTGTAACATTTTTCCTCCTTTACAAAAAAGATTACCCATATACATACTCAATAAAACAAAAATCCATTTCCCATGAAAAAGTTATATGAAGTGCATCGAACGAGAATGAAACATTTATTGGCGGCGATAATGAGGTAATGAGGCAATGGTTTGTTCTGATACAAAGGGATTGTGTTCAATGTTGAGATGACGACACTTGAGCCGACCAGCGGCGAAACGATACAAAGTTGAGTCTGTGATATGGGTATGTGCAAGTCGAAATGAATCGAGTTCCAAAGGTATATCAAACAAGCTCTCCAAGCACTTGTCATCCACTTGACCACCCGAAAGTTCCAACCGTTTCAATTGTGATAGTGGCCTCACTACTTGTGCAATGTTGGCTTGTTGTGAACGAGCACCCAATGTACATCGATCGATCACTAATGTTTGAAGAGTGCCTCTGCGATTGGTCGTAAACTCCACAAGCGATTGATGATCCAAAGAATCCAATTTGACCAAACGAACATCGATCAAGGTACGTGGTAGTGTGTTGAGTGATGGGCCATCGATGGGTGTCATATGAATCTCCACGTGCGTTAAGCTATCGAGACCAGCAAAGTCGCATTCGAGCATGAATGGAAAGCTTTCTAATCCGCCCATATGCAAGATGCGCAAGTTTTTGCAATATTTGGACATGAGACGAATGGTGTCAGGCTTGACGGATGATGGATGACCAAGTGTCAAGGATACGAGATTGGGGCAGTAACGGATCATCTTGTGTACTCGCATGTCGATCCCATATCGGTTCACAGGGCTCAGGTCAACATTGCGAATGTATTCTCCATAAGGAAGGATCGTATCTCGGCTGGCAATGGTCCTGACAAACCCCACAAATCCAAGGTAGTTCTTGATCTCATAATCCCTATCCTATCCTTTAGTACGTGATCCGTCATCAAAGAAGAGAGAGAGAGAGAGAGAGAATATAAACAACATACCGATAGAACTTGCTACAGACAAAGTGCGCCCATAGTTTGCATACACACATGGCTCGAAAAATAAACTTGTCATTGCTAGCAACATCCATTGCATATTCGCAAATGACCTGTTGCAGATCAAATGGAAGCATGGCCGGCATTTCGTGGAGGGGAAGTGTGCAATGAAGAGGAGAGGAACAGGTGCTACTGTGTGTGAGAGTGGGAAAGAGAGGAAAAAAAGAGTAAGAGCATATTTGGTGTCACCATCCATGGGTTGGTTTCAGCTACAACATTGGCGAATGAGCGCCGTTGCCAAGGACTTTTTTAGTAAACGTATCCCGATCTTGGCTGTCTCAGTGTCGTTGTTGCTCCCCATTGTCACCCGATGATGATAGCTAATTGGATCCGTGTTACACGGTGGCTGCTGCTACATACATCGCTCACCTTTGTTCATCCCTTTGATATGTAATGAATCGGCTTCATTTGTCTCACTCTTCAACCTCACCAATCGATCAATGTATTCATAAGCTCGTCGTCTCCGCAATTCAGCAAGCACATAAAAATGACGTGCTCAGCCCGGTCTGATAATGCATCAAACACACTCACAGACCTTGTAACAAGAAACGATTCGCATTTAGTCACTTTTGTCTTTTTCTTTTCTCTTCGATAATATGGCTGATACGAATTGGTGCTGTTATTGTGATAAAGCAATACCTACGGGTTATTCGGTAAATCCATCACCTATCATCATCCATCATCCATCCTACTGACATTGGAATGCATACAGGGATCACTTTATTGCTCAGAAGAATGCCTTCGTCGTGATACGCTTGAACATCGACGACCCTCAGCAGACGTCAATGCGCTATTTGACCCTCGGCATTATGACCATAAAATGAAGCAATTCTTATTCACCCCACAACAAGATAATGCACCATCACCATCCTCAAATGGTGATCCATATGATGCCAACACCACCAACAACTCTGATCAAGAAGGCTCCACCGTGCTTGCACGATCACAAAGCATAGACAATGCATCCACCACAGGCGACTCGGATAAAGTTACACTCGTCAACGGTGACGACAATGATAATAACAGCTGACAGCAGCTTTAGAAAAGCATGGCAGTAGGCATATACCCTCACTGATAAAAGAGCTGCTGCTGTTGTTGTTGTTGGTCAGAATGACGTCTTGTAGACAAATAAATGAGAGCATTCATGCGGAAGGAGAAAAAAGGGCTACCCAAAAGAATCGGAGCTAACGATGTTGTCATTGTGTGATGATCACATACATCGATATCATACTACGTACGATAATTTTTAGCTTGCAAAATCGCCATGATAATATTGTTGAATGATGCAAAAGGGGAAGTGGTAGTAAAAAGTGGATTCGATTTCTCTCAATATATACGTCATGATGACATTGAGCCAAGCAAAGCTATCATATGCATGCGTGTGCAAGATACTTACCCTTGTCTTCCATTGCATACGAGCTAGCCGAGATCAGGTTTGCTTCAACATCACCACCACTATCCCATATGGGTTGGAATATGCATACATTCATGACATGAAAATGACGATCGATGGGGTAGAAAGAGCATGACCATCATCAACAACGACGATTATAAAAAGCGGCTCCGGTGATGAAGCAAAGACACCTCCATCATTCTTCTATCTTTCTCTATCAAACAATACCATGCTTTCATCTACCGCTGCTCCCACCCGTGGCAAGCTTGTTGTTACTGTTGGTATGTGTGTGTGTGTGTGTGTGTGTGTGTGTGTGTGTGTGTGTGTGCGTGAAGGAACTGTCAAGGATGCTCGCTAACAGTGTTGGTGATGTTCTTAGTCGAAGCCCAAGACCTCAAAAAGGAAGACGTTGTGAGCGATGTAAGTACATGCGGGTTCATTATTGAGTCAACCAAAAGTTAACCATTTTTCGCCTTTAGAATGATGTCTATGTGTAAGGCTAGCTCTTTCCAATGACGTTGTCATCCACAATCATTTACTCATACACGTTTTTTTTCTTTTGTATGTAGCGAGGCCTGGTTGAACAAGAACTATAAGCAAAAGACGGGAACAATGAAAAACACCAGCTGCCCCATTTGGAACGAGACGTTGGTCTTCCCCGTTGAAAAGGGTGACAAGGAGAACAAGCTCTATGTACGCGTATTGGACAAGGATGTTGCTGACTCTGACAAGATTGGTGAAGGCAAACTTGACTTTTCGAATGTCTACAAGGAAGGCACTGGCGCCATCGATGAATGGATTTCTCTTCCCACCCATTTCCACCTCTCTGACAAGGGCAAGGTCCATCTCAAAGTTGAGTTTACTCCAGAGACTGAGCCAGCAGAAGCAGCCCCTGCCACCCAACAACAGCAATAAGAAGCCATCTTGGTTGATGATAGGATGCTTTCTCTCTCTCCATCTATGTAGCTAGTGATCTTCTTTTTACGATTAGCTTTCACATCTTGCGAAATAACATGAACCTCCTTTGTGCGCATCATTTTTTGTCTTTCATGTGCTTTTGTGGATTGAGCAATAGTAGAAGGTGGTACATACACCACATGTTGGTTACACAAAAAGCATTGGCTTTCATGCAGCCTAAAGCCTCCTTTTGGTGCAGCATCTTGATATGTACCCCATGTCTCAAAAGAAAATAACCATTGCTGTACGCTTCTTTTATTTTAGCCAGCATACCTCATATTGATATGCATGTAGCCCAACAACAACAACAGCCCGAGCTGCTGCATGATCTCATCGTACCCCAAACATCACTACTACTAAAGCAAATCTGAGAATGATTATCGTAATACAGCCATGCATGCTCCTTTGGTTTATAGCATCTCTGCTTATGATTGTGAGCTTCCTTTAGTGATTCCAGGATCTTTATGCATAGCCCAAGGTTTGTTTCAAGAACAAGATGCTGTTGCCACTGCGATCAGCATACTCCAAGATACAAGCAGCAGTGGTATATAAAGGGGCTGATGTACCCAGTGTTACCAGCTTTTGAGGAGGCGGGATACTCTATTTGAAGCTGTTTTGAGCTTAGCAGAGGGAAATGGGATGTATGAATGAGGCGTCAAACAAAAACCTTTATTCGGATGATTGCGCCCACACAACATAGCAGCACGCGTGTATTACAGTAGTAAACCGGTCCAATTATATATATACAGCGTAACCCGCTCCCGCCCACAACATGGTGTTCTCTTTTTTTACCCCTTTATAGAAAACGAATACTCCTTGATTTCCTTGTATGTAATGATAGCCAGGGCGTAATGACAGAAAACCTTCTCGTGTGTCGGAATACAATTATCGTATACTCCCATAGTAGACCTCTCTATCATTATCATTGGATGTGACAAGTGTGTGTAGACAATAATAAAAGTGCCCATGTCGTACGAATCTTGCAGCTGGTGGGCACGTATATCTCTTTTTCAGGAAGTGCTGCTGCACTGATAATCATAACAATTTGTTTGTGTTTGCATGCTGTTGTGGAGAAAAGGGTAAAAGAAGGCGCAGGAACACATACACACACACCTTTCCTCCTTGTGTATGCAGCAGCATAAAAGAGAGAGATAAAATTGCTGCTATCAACAAAACTAGTCATCCTCTTTCTACTCTTTACCACTTCCCCTACCCCTTCCACTCAGCGAGAAAAAAACCATCATGATCTGTCATTCACTCCCTGTTGCGGCGTTGTGGTTAGCTATGATAGCCAATGGAGCTTTTGCAACCATGGCACCAAGCTATCCTGATCCAGGTGCCATATGGACGGCAGGAAAGCAATACCAGATCCTATGGGGTAAAATGACAAATGAAGGAGGGCCTTTGTTGTAGAAGATACTTATTCATCTTGGTTAGGTGATGATGGAAAATCCCCCAGTGTGAATGAGAGTTGGACCAATTTTAAGATAGGTATGCAATTTCTTCATTAGATGCCCATTCAATTTGACAATGTAATAACCCATCATCTTATGTATGCCAAAGATTTTATGACTGGAGACAATGCGAACCAAACATTTCTTACAAACGTCGCAAAGGTAAACGTATCCAAAACCCAAATCAACCCATTTGCTCACTCGTTTTGAATACACTATGTAGGATTTGGATGGTAGCAAAACGACCTCATACACTTGGACTGCACCCCATGTGGATCCTTATTCCGCCATTTACTTTTTTATGTTTACCAATGGTAAGTGGGTGGCTAATGACTACTACTAAGACTCTTGTGGTATGACTAAAATGGGTATGTAGCTGCTGGTGAGACTGCATGGACTACACGATTTGGCATTGTGGCGAAGGATGGCGACACGTTGGTTCCTGAACAAGAAAAAACTCAGTCCACAGGTACATATGAATATCCATACAAAAGCCAAATCTTTTAACCTATATGGTTCATTACATATACGTAGGCGAGAAGATCCCATGGGGTAATGGCAAATTGGTTGATAATAATACCAATACCGCAACCAATGCTTCAACAACCTCCTCAACAGCCTCGTCAGCAACGGCATCCCCTGCATCAGGACCTCCTGCTGCCACCAGTGGAGATGATACGGGAGTGACACCTAACGCAGCAGCAGCAGCAGCTGATACTTCCCATCATCCAGAATCCAGTGTTACCAAACATGACCCATCATTATGGTGGATTACCACCACCCTCTTTTCCTCTGCTGTTGTTGCCTTGCATAGCGTGTATCAGTAGATGTGTATTTGAGTTGCAAAATATAATAATTTAGTGTGCGTGTGTGTGTGTGTGTGTCTCATGATGGAATGTAAGCAAAAAACAGTATTCTATTGGGTAAAGATAGCTTCCTTCAGGGACTTGTAAGCAGCTTCCAAATCATCATTCACAATGATGCGATCAAAGACGCCAGGTTGTTCAGCGTATTCCAATTCACGAGTGGCAGCTTCCAAACGAGCCAAGACACCTTCTTCCTTTTCAGTACCACGTCCTCGCAAACGTTGTTCCAAGATTTCCAATGAGGGTGGACGAATACAAATGTAACGAGGGTTGAGGTTGGTCTTTTTCACTGCTTGGACACCTTGCATATCGATATCAAGCATGCACACCTTGCCGGTTTCTACCACATCCTCCACTGCCTTGACCGAAGTGCCTATAATAATGATCACCATAAGCATCCAAATCAATCGATCACCACCAACCATCATTAAGAAGATTCAACATACCATACATGTTGCCTGAAAAAGTAGCACTTTCAATAAACTTGCCGTCGGCCACTTCACGTTCCATCACGTCCTTGGCGACGAAATGATAATCCTTGCCATTCACTTCACCAGCACGAGGAGAACGAGTGGTATCTGTAGTAGGGATAGAAAGAAAAAGTTGAGCGATCGTCGCATGTCATGTCAAGATTCAAGGTGTCTTACGAGAAACGCTAAAGCCAAACGTATCAGGGTATTCGGCAAATAAACGCTTGAGAAGAGTAGACTTTCCAGAACCAGAGGGGCCAGCAATGACAAAGATCTTGGAAGCGGTTTGCATGGTCATGATGAGGAACGAGAGGAGGAGAGAGAAAGAGGGAAAAAAAGGTGGTTGGTCGGGGTGGTACACAAAAACGTCGATCATCGGATTTTAGCTCTGTCCTCCTTAGCACACGTGGAGTGTGCCTTCGCAACACAACCCTACCTGTCACTGATCTCTTTTTTTTTACAGGTACATTCATTGTAGTAAAGCTATGATTGATATGAACAATGAGGATGTGTATTGGGTAGTATGTACTCGATATCTGGATATCTATGAATAGCTTGATCGTACGACAAATCCATCGACTCTTCTAATGACATGTGTTCATAAGGGATCCAGAATCAGGTGGACATGGGGGTAGAACGTATAAATGATTCCTTGTTGCAAACGAGCCATATGCTTGGAACACAACCAGTGATTTGGTTACCTAGCAACTGGAAATCCGATTCCATGGCAACATTAAAAAACTATACTGTGACATGGATTGGTCATATGAAGCAACAACTACTATAGCCCCCTCTCATCATTGTCATTGTAGCAGCTATATCACGCCATCAAATTCTGCTCTCGGACGAATTAAGCCTAACGATATCCACACTACTTTGATCGCAAGGAACCGTATGCCCATTATTGTATCCTTGATACCAAACCCACTCCACTCCTTCAAAAGTGATCCCATCCAAAGGTTGTCATTGCAGGTTGTTTTATTGTACTGCTGATCGATCCATGAGGAAAGGAAGGCGAGAATACGTTATGCGATTGAGACGAGATGTCGTAGAAAGTACGAAAATGTTGAAGGGAATGATCACACATAAGCAGCAATGAGGTAGGGAGCAATTTAAGCCTATTACATGCACATTAGTTATTCCGTAATCCCAACAAAGCATGATCGATTCACTAGTGCGAATTATACCTTCTTGGCAGCAGCAGGCTAGAATAGATAGTATAATGATATATAAGTAAAATGATCCACTGCCCTACAATTTCGTATTCATCATCATGATTACCTTGGAGGACTTCTTAGCATCCTTGGCAGCTTGACGAGCAGCAGCACGAGCTTCAGGCTTCTCAGTACGCTTAGCACGGATTTCTTCCCAAGAGGCACCAACAACGGCACGCTCGTGCTTGACAGTGCGGCGAGTGCGCTTGGCACGGACCTCAACAGAGATACCCTTCTTGTTGACGCGACGGTAAATTTGGGTCCAGCGGATCTTGCGAGGGCTCAAACGCTGCAAAAAGTAGGATTCGGTCTTGCCGTTGATGAAACGGAAGGTCTACAAAGAAGTTGGTTGTTGGTTGATATGGTTCAAATGTGTAGGTTGATATGTAGTCAATAGTGGTCAATGCTTACTCTACATAAAGACAAAAAGAGTTTAATACACTGGTCAACACATGAATGCCCATTGGGATGGAGCAATACGTAACTTG